CTGTTCCAAGTTCTAAATCAAAGTTTGATTTCAAGTTTTGGCAAAACAAGGAAATGACATATTATCCTTTAAGATTTACTACTATTCAAACATTTACTTGATAATTCAATAAACCAAACTATAAAATATATTGTCGAATAATTTTGCGAAAAGCAAGGCAAGAATTAAGTTTACTTGAATAAGCAATATGTGAACCGTATTAAGTGTAGAAATTTTAAAAAGTGCTAACTGTCAAATGATATTCGTCAAAATTTTATCAAATTTGAACGATTACTCATCTAGCTACAGCTATTTTAGTGTCTCTACTTTTTATATTTCCAAAACAATGGACTTAAATCAATTTTGTGTCTTGATTTCTCATTAGTTTTTAATACAAAAAAATACCGTGACAACAAAAGCTCGGTCTGATAAGTGCTATCCGGACTAAGCTCTATCGAGGCAAATGATAGATAAGTGATTTGCTGACTTTTAACACCGATCCTACGATTCTAAATACACTGGTCGTTCAAAAAAGGTGCAGACACGAGAAATCGTCATTTCTAATTTCTGGGACAGGCAATGTATGTAATGGTATCCATATAAGGATTTAAACAGTTGACTTCCTTTTTCTGAAGTGAATGCTATCTTCACATACATAGACCATATTTTTAAAAGTAGGGCGACCAGATGTACCCTGCTATCTGTCAATTAATAAGGTTAAATTAATAAGGTGACCATATATCAACAGAATCGATCGTCTCTAATATATATATGATATACATATACTTTCATTGATATATTTTTAAAATCATTCGGATTCGTTAAAATGTGAAATTAAATGGCAGATAGATACATACATCATATTAGAATTTGATAGATCTTATTAGAATTGATTTTTCATGTTGAAGCTATTTGAGCCAGTGCGCTTGAAATCTTTTACTCTTTCTTAACTCAGAATATTTTCAAAACCCCTCTTAACGACTTGACTGGATTATTGTTCATCACTTCATCAGACTAAGCAATAATTGACCTTAGATCTGCATATCTCCCCGAGAAGCTTGTAACCATTCTGAGATTTGATAACGCGGTGTTGGTAAGTCTGTCAGTTTATATGTTTTGTATTTTTTATTTGTATTTTTTATTTCTTTATGCATTTTTTGATGGGATCAATCTTGAGGTCCCTGTGGATGTGAGTCGTCCTAATGTATCATAGTACTTTTAAATATATTTTTTAATTTGGTTATTTATTTAATTTTATATATCCAAAATTATCGGAATTAAAACGATCGGTCCAAATTAGGTTATTATTACCGTTAGCATAATTATCAGCAGCATAATGGGAAGCTAAGCGAACCATTCACCAGAACAACGGGTGAGAGACAAGGCTGTATACTATCTCCACTCTTAGCTATTGTCGTTTTGAATTGGGTGCTGGAAATCTTTGACTTTCTGTGAGTCATCCAGAGGCATCCAGTTTAGATTGAATTCAACCCTCGAGGATCTAAAATATACAGATAATGTTATTCTACTCTGTCACTCTATGACCACATGCAATCAAAACCAACTACATCACGAATCGTCTAAATCGGAATCTAAACATACAAAAAACAGAATCCTTGCGTCTTAAAATCGATAACTCTAGCTGCTTCGCGTGGAAGATTCGCAAGTTTGCGAAATATATGGCGAGCTAGAAAACTCCAAATACATTCCAAGATACAAATTTTTATTGCCTGCGTAAAATCGGTTCTATTGTATGGCATCGCATCATAGTTGGTGACTGTAGCAACGACTTTAAAATTGCAAGCATTTGTTAATCGGTGTTTACGGAATATAATGCAAATATGGTGGCCTAGAATTATAACGAATGAGGAACTGTGGAAATTAACTAGCCAACGTATGATTCTAAACGAAATTAAAAAGCGAAAGTATGACTGGATAGGTCATACATTGCGTAAACCTTATAAAAAATCCACAAGGACATCGACGGAGAGACGACCTGCAGCGGCTTGGAAGCGAACTATGCAGACAGAAACTGGTAAATCGATTAACGAGTTACGATATACTGCACAAAATAGAGATAGTTGGAGAAACTTTGTTGTGTCCTTAAGCTCGTAAATGGAGTATGGAATAAATAATAATAATAATTATCAGCATTGTTTCATAAAATCTATGGTATGTCCGTAACAGCGACCTTCATCGTGACTTGCATATTCCAACAGTTGCTGAAATAATCAAGCTTCAGGCCGAAGTACATAAAAAAAGACTTGAAATTCACTGCAACACAGAAGCTTCATCACTCCTTCAAACAGAAGATAACGTACGATGGCTTAAGAGAACCAAACCGTCTGATTTAATCAATTAAATTAAATATTAATCATTATACTATAATATTATAGATAAGGATTAATATCGACAATTTCAAGTCCCCGATATAAAAACATTGCCAATTAGTTTTTTTTTATTTGTAACTAGGCGCAATTGAATATATAATAAAAAAAAAAAAGAATGTTTCATAAAATTTAATTATTTAGACTATCAATAATTGTAAGAATTCTAAAAACTCGGATTAATTTTAAAATAAAGTTATATGCCTAAGTCAGTGAAGCTAGTTAGTAACTAAGTTAGTTAGTTTTTATAACTATGGTATATGTGACAGCCAAAAGTAACTCCTTTATTCGTTTCATTTAAGTAGCGTTTACATCAATCCCATTCTAACTATATATATACAAGTTTTTTTACATCTAAATATATTTTTGTAGTTACTTTAAGTCAAATAATATGTATATAGTTGATATAATTTTTCACATGTTATCCTTCGGAAGGCTTTGTTGACAATTGAAATGAAGTCATAATTATAATATCACATGAATTATATATAAGTATAAGTTATATACATAGAAATCTACTTAAAACCACAAGCTTTTAAAAAATAAACCACATAGAGGGAAATTATTTTAACACTGCACTTCCTAGATATACGATTGTCCTTTTAATGAATGTAATAGCATGCATTAAAAACGACATATTTCATGAATGATAATATCCATATAACATATTACTTCCATTTGCAACATACCTCCGCACATGTGCTCGTATAATCGCAAGCACACTAGCACTAGCAATAAAGCACGCAATCACTGGCAAAGAATCCCTTAGAGAAAGTGCATTGCTATGCTATAGTATGGATTGGAGAGAGTGTACAGAAGTCAGAAATAGTGTTATAATTCGTTTCATATTGCCTGCAGTTTGAGTCCTTTTTTGCAGAGCGGAAGTTGCCTTAGAAAATTTTACTAGCAAAATGAATCAACTTTTTAAATAAGGACAAATGTTATTATAAACTACAAATGGAATAAGGTAATGAATATTCAATGCATAATGCAAATTAAACAATCGGATATACAGACATACTCGTTGATTTAGGAAACTCCAACTAATACTGAAACATTGTTTGTGTGAATGAAATCAACTTTATATATTGACATTTTATATAAACGGCAAGGGGAAAAATTACTACAGGTAAAAATATTAAAAATTATGTGCACTCAAGTTTATCAAATCTATATCATATCAAATCAAGTCAAATCTAACCAATTGTCTAACCAACATTAATTTTATTTTTATTATTTTTGTTATTCTAATACGTGTTCAGAAATAGAAACTTTTGTGTAAAAACTCTCAGGAAATTATAATTTAAAAAACGCGTATTAATGTTTTTTATACGCTGGTAGGACAGTGGATTCTTTATCGATTTGTTATTGTGATGTTATGATCCACATCTTTATCACAATATGTTAAATATGCTAGTCACTTAATGTAATAGCATAAGTGAGAAAACAGGTAAATGCGCAAACGTGATATGCGGATTATTTATACACTCTATATCTAGGATCGCCAAAGCGACACTTGTAGAGAGGAATGATGGAAGTAGCTGAATTCAACTGGTTGAAGTTAATTAAAATGAACGTACGAACCATTGGATTGTATTAATTTGCTAGATTGAATTGTTTTATCACAAAGAATATATGCATAGCATACACATACTATGCTCCGCCTAATCAGTGTTTTAATCTTCAAGCCCTCCTTTTATATGTTATAGAAAAACGACTGACATAATAGCAAAAATTATGAGCAATAGCTCATATAGAAGAAGTAGAAACTAATGGCATAGTTAATCATATTTCATATATAACATACTTGAACTAACCAACAAGTTAAAGTAGTCCCTATCTGTAATTATATTATTTAATAAACAATCTATCAAACAGACTTTTATAAAACTAACATCAAAACATTCAAATTGCACCCCATAAGGTGTGGGCTCCACATTGTGAAACAGTGATGTACACGGTTTTCAATATCTGCTTCACTGTATTACAAATGTAATTGATTATCTTTGTACTATGTGAAGGAAGTGCGTAATAAACACAAGTCCTGAGCTCTACGTAGAGTGTATGTCACCCACTACAATTTTTTCAATATTCCATTGAAATATGATAAATTATTAATTTACCAATATGAGATTTTGTTGTTTTTAGTTTTAGTTAATTTTTTAAAGCATAAATTACTTTTAATTACAATGGAACATCAATGTCGCAGACAAATGGAACATCAAAGTCCTCTCTATGACAACATAGCTCCGAGCACCACCAACAGAACTGAATGGTTATTTAAAAATAAATATACAGTTTTCTTGGGAGTTATTGCAAGTTTGTTATTTTGGCTGGTATCCTGGGTGGCAATTATTTTAATAATCGTAAGTAACATTTCGATACAGACATTTTATTAAATAAGTTTTTTAATATATTTGTCTTCTCAAAATCATTTTAGGTAGCTTCTTTAGCTATTTTCGTTGGATTAATTTTTCCACGTTACAGTGCTTATGCAATTAATTATATATTGACGTACATTGGATCCGAGAAAATATTTCATGAAGAATTATAGAAACTTCTGGAGTCTGTCATTAATACAAATCTTCATACTTACAAGTACAACAAAACTGCAAGTCGACTAACTGCCTCCCAATGTATGTTAAAATCAAGTCACATATATTAAAATATTTGAAGTTCTTCTCAAAATGGTGGACATACTTTAAATCTCGCGACTTAGATAACTTAACTAATTTTATTCAATCATATCTCGAATCAAGCGGAATTCACGGTTTATTTTTCTTAGTTTACCGACGTTTAGTAATTATTGAAAGGTAAGTCTTATAATGAAGGTGTAAACCTTTTACCTTGAAAACTTATACAACTATATATATGTACTTAAAATTAAATATTGAAACCAAACACCAAAATTTAATTATTCGAAAATATTTTGACTGCTCGAAGATGCTGGAATATAATATGGTGTTCGAATTTATTCTAGAGATTTGCTATGCTCGAGCCAAATGCCCGAACATCTAAATGATTGAAGCTTCGATCAGCTCAGATAATATTTAAAGGTCTAATAAAACTTTTTTTTCGATAAGATTCGATAAAATTTATCTAGTTATTGTTATCGCTCAACATTTAATTGTGCAATTTCAGATACTTCTGGCTACTTCTTGTGATTATTTCAACATATATTTGTATTAAAATTGGACTGCAATCTGTGGATCGTTTCTATACAAAAAGCACAGTAGTTGGTCTCGAACGAGATTACCATCAATGGAATACGACAATGCCAGCTACAACTGTTTGCCCATTAAAACGTTTAGATTCACAACTTTTTAATGCTTTTTGCCGGTAGGTATCATGTTTAATAGGCTTTAGAAACTTTTAAATTTTTATATTTCGATTTGGAAGTCAATTTAACTTACCTATGTTGTTTACCCTAAACTTGCTAGAGACTTTTTCAAATTTTATAATTTATTTCAACCGAAACCTTATTTCGAAATGAGATAATTTTCTTGACAAAATTTAAATTCCTGATAGTATAAATTTTTCATTTTGGACCGTGATTATAGTTCAGTTGCCCATGTCCAATGTCAATATCATAAATATTTTAAAATTACGAACAGAAATTTTAAGTTCAAATGCCCCCAAGAGATATGTAAGAGTCAAAATTACCTCCAATAGATGAATGTATTTAGTATGCACTTAAGATGTACATAAAAGTAGAAAGACATGTTGTGTAGATCTAAACTTGAGAGATCTTTAAAATTTCCAAAACATTACTGCATTTTAACTGCGAAATTTGATGCCTATATATTCTTAATTCAATTAAAGCTCTTTCGATTTTCGCTTATCTCTAAAAGAAATTATACAATATTTATCTTTTTTGAATGATTACTGCAAATCCCATTAGCTAGTCCAATACAATGCATTTGAATAAAATTCAAAGTATCTGAGATCCTCATAGTCTAAACGCTTTAATAGCAGATCAAAAATTTGCAGACATGTTCAAAAGAACACAGAACCTACACCATATATGTTAAATGGCTTCATATTCTCTAGCAATAAAGATAGTTTGCTCATCACAGAAATTTTCATATGTCCCATTTGTGGCGTAAGGTCCACAAGTCAGGATTATCTTATAAGCCTTACTCATAGGAAACTTGTTCTCATTGTTCTTATTAAGGTAAAACTATGCTATAGATAAATAAATAAATATATATGACAATTGAGAAGAGAATGAAGAATGTTTAATATATCTAAACTGTGAAGCCTCGTGCTAACTTATCGGGGACTTATTTATACAAAATCGTGTTTTTTAATATAGATCATGAAATATATAAAATGAGAAAACCATTTTCCCACGTTATATGCGTTGATAGTTTTAAACAGTATTGTAATAGATGATGCTTGGATTCTAAATGTTGAGACCATTGTCCGATCTTAACGTTATTTAACAGAAAATATTCTTTATGTTTTACTTTATTCATTTACAAATTGTTTTTTAAACAATTATTTTAATTATTTAAAATATATATTAAGGCCTTGTGCGAGTTCGAGTAAATTGATAGTAAATTGAGGGAAATAGTAAATTATGTCGGTGTGGCAGTGAATGTTCGAGTAGGGTAAATTAGATAAAAATTAGGTAAATTAGTTATTACCATTGTGAGAATTTTCTAAGATCTTTAATAAATAAATTTGAAAACTTTTAACCACAAATAATAAATAAATGCAATAAATAAATATTTATATAAGTGCAGTGCAAAAAATCCCTAGGAAATTTAAACTTACTTTACCTCAATTAACTCGAACTCGCACACGGTCTAAGTGTATTTTCTACAGACTTTTCTATTATCAATAAAATAAAGTAATCAGGTCTCGTAACTCTTGAAAGTGCCGGGTCCTATATACCCTAAAAATAAAATTTTAAATGCTTCGCAATAAATTTCTGCAAAATGAAGTCCATGTTGTTTTATGAATTATAACTTTTATATATTTTTGATAGAGACCACAACATACCGGATAGAGAACATGATGAATTGTTTCAGTTTCTTGAATCATTAGCAAATTCAACTTTCATTAACTTCAAAGAAATAAAAGTCTACAATCAAATAGATCGTATATTGGATAAATTGAAAATAAAACCAAAGAATTACATGGAACTTATATATAATCTTACTGTAGACAATACTTTTCAAAATATATCGGATATGAAACACATATATTCAAGAATTTATGGCTCATCGGGTGATGGATTTTTACATTCACGACAGATTCTAACGGAATATGGTCTATGCTACAATTTAAATACTCTTCTTGATACAAGTTATTCGGCTACGTACTTTATCTTCGGTAAACATCCAGAAGTCCCCAAAAAAGGTCGGAATTTTCTAAGCTCTAAGTGGGGTAACTACTTTGAAGAGGAAATGATTTACAATTTTGAGGGATTTATAAGTACACCGATAGATGTGAGTGTTTCGTAAATAAGTTAATAAATGCCATGACCTTGATAGTGAAATTAATAATTTTATTATTTTGCAGACATTTATTCACAGTCCTTTCGAAGTAATGCAAGTTGATCACAATATGGGCTACACTCTGGACCCAATGACATATGAAGTGGAATGTTTAGAAATTATAACAGAGGTTGGATTTAAAACGTAATTATGTTATAACAAAATGTAATCAATATATATATTATGAATTAACATTACATATTTAGGGGAGCTAGTATTTCACAACGACAATGCCGTTTTCTACATGAGTCGAACCTAACGCATTTCCCAATTTATACTAAAAACTTATGTCTACAAGAATGCCGCTTAAATCTGATATACAAGCTATGTAAATGTATACCACACTTTTACCCAAATCGCGGTAAGCATTCCACAATATTGTTATTTTTTATACTCTTCACACTTAGTTATGTCAAGTACTTCTAACACAACAAAGAAAGTTTCGAATATCATATAAAACTTATATACTTATACACGAGTATAATCTTGATAACTATAAAAATATAAAAATACATATCAATTAAGGATGTTACTTTGGAAATCTACCCGTATTTGTATTGCTGTCAGTCTATCTATTAGTTTATTTCCCATAATTCAAATGTAACCGAAGGACACTACAACCTCACACTCAAAACTCTGAGTCTTCCTTGATTAATGGTAATATAATTACTGATTTTTCTATATCTTTCTATTCAAAGCTACTATTGTCTGAACACCAACATCACTCAGGTATGAAGACTGACTCCTACTAGCAGTCATTATAATATCAAGCCTTTACTGTGCTACAGTAGGGTGGCTCACGTTATAAGGGGGAAAATTAAAAATGAAGTTTTGAATGAGCGCACCCCCTAGGAATATGCCATTGACCTTAAAAATGATATTCCCAAACTTTTGGAACAATAGGATTAAAAATGACGTTGCGCCACTCGAGCAAAGTTGGGTTTTCAGTACAAAAAACAGAAATTTTTCAATTCGAGGTCATTTTTTATCTTTGTTACTTTTTTCAATAGTTATTAATATTTACTCATTTGATAGATAATTGAAATATCTTTTTAATAAGATACCAATGAGCAAAATCGGTTAAAAATTATGCGCAAAACACAATAATTAGTTGAGCGACTGTGCTCCGTTTTCTATATTATATCTTTTAGATGGCATGCACAATGCAATCGCAAATGTTTACAAGAAACGGAAGAAACATAAATAAAAAATAAAAATAATACATTTCTACTTAATAATTTATATAGACATATAAGTAGAATTGAAAACGTAGTCAAAACAAGAATTATTTGGTAAGTAAAGAGAAAATGGTCGTACAGGGAATATGACTGAAGTTAATATCCTTTTAGCAAACGAAGCAAGAGCGGCTGAAAGTTTCATTGATTTTAATTAGAATGAATTCGATGAAGAAATTTGTCTCAAAATGGAAGCTGAATCTTTAGTCACAGTTCAACAAAATTGGGATAACGCAGACAGAACGATTCAATTTATCACTCCTATTTTAGTTACCGCCCTGGACAAATGCAAGGTTTCGGATCGCTACGCTATACATATTTTGTAGTGGTTACCTATGGCACTTAGGTGCCATCCAAGATTCTCGATGGATGGCGAAATCATGTACTTACTAAAAATGTATATTTTAAGAGATCAATTTACATATAACTCGGATGATTTGTACGAGATATATACATTTTTATGATGAGCATATGTGTGAAAATTTTAACCCATACTAGGTAAGGTTATGTTCGGAAGGCACGTGCTGACAGTTGTCAGCACTTCTACTCGGAGACATATATTGCCCATTGGGATGCCCTCAAAAAATTTTACCAGGAGATGCGAGTTGCTAATCTTTGTTATCCTTGTTAAACCATTTGGCTTTCCAGATGAAGTTGAGGAGATCCGATAAGTTTGCTTTCGTTATCTCTTCCAAGCCAGTAAAATAAGGATCCGCAAGACGTAGCCTTGTTTGAAGTCCTTGACAGAGACGCAGGAAGTGGTTGATAGATTTTACCTCCTCTTCATCTTAGCAACTTCTGCATAATCAACTTGTTGGAACTCGCAACCGTTGAACATCGGCGCAATGGCACAGTGCCCCTTTAGTACACCAAAAAGCACACGAACTGCAGGTTTGTTGAAGCCTAAAATGCTTTTCGTTTTATTTTTGTCCAACTTAGGCCATAAGATTCTAGCGACCTTACAGTCTTCGCGGTTAGTTTATAAATTGTTAGTCACCGTATTGATTTCCTCTATTATCCTATACAGTTTACATATCGGTGTATGTATTGAGAGGTCAGCCTCTTCTGTATGCAGTTCAGAACCTCTTTTGGCCATCTCATCTGCTAGTTCGTTCCCTTCAATATTTCTATGTAGAAGTATTCGAAATGTATTATGTCCAGCAAAGAGAGACCTTATGATGTTTGATGCCCATCAGTGAATCGCGACATTTTAATACTATCTTGGAATTTAAATTCAATTGCTTTCAGTGCGGCCTATCTACAAAAATTGTGATATTCGAAGGACGAATTGTACTTTATTGTATATTGTTGACCTCTTTTTCGATAGCGTATATCTCGCCGTGAAAGACGCTGTAAGCAGCAGGGATTCGGTAGCACTGTCTTATCTGCATATCTTTCGAGAAGATACCTGCTCCCGTACCGCTTTCCATCTTTGAGCCATCTGCACAGATAGTAACTGTAGAGTTACCGGTCATAGATCCAAGCTCTCAGCTATCTCTGGTTAGATAAAGAGTGGGAACCCACTAATGAAGTTATTTTCCTCAAAGAACCTTATTGATTTTGTGACTGACGAAATAACAAATTTCTTGGATCGTTTTTGCCTATCTAATAGTTTTATCAGTTTCGATCCTTCGCCATGGATGGAGACGCAAGATTATAGAGATGCACTTGAATTCTGTGCCAGACTTCATATGATAAATGATTGTATAGAAAGAGAAATTAGGCTTATGATGGATTATAATTCGATTTTGACAAAATATGAAGAGGAAAAACAATATGTTCTGCAAGTAGTCGAACATTATCATAAAAATTGTCCTTCACATAGTCAGATTTATGTTATAAAACATAACAAACACAATATATTAATTACTGAAAAAAAAAGTTTTCTTGAAATTATAATTTTTTATAAATAATTAACTAAATCGTAGCATATACCTATTACGTAATTGTGCAAGCCATCTAAAAGTTATGAAATAGAAAACAGAGCACAGTCGCCCAACTAATTATTGTGTTTTGCGCATAATTTTTAACCGATTTTGCTCATTGGTATCTTATTAAAAAGATATTTTAATTATCTATCAAATGAGTAAATATTAATAACTATTGAAAAAAGTAACAAAGATAAAAAATGACCCCGAATTGAAAAATTTCTGTTTTTTGTACTGAAAACCCAACTTTGCTCGAGTGGCGCAACGTCATTTTTAATCCTATTGTTCCAAAACTTTGGGAATATCATTTTTAAGGTCAATGGCATATTCCTAGGGGGTGCGCTCATTAAAAATCGTATTTTAGTTTTTCTGAGCCACCCTAGTGCTACAGTTTGATTTGTATAAACTTGTTGATCTCATTAAATGCAAAAACTTTTCTAAGGCCCATTCGTTGCCTTATAATTCTTCTTATGTTGTAATCCACTACCAAATGACATACTATATAAATAGTGAAGAATAACTAACATAACTGATTTTGTGAAAAGTATTCATACTTAGGTTAAACCAAAAAATTATTTTTTCTTCTTATATATCAGTTTCTAACCCAAAACCAGTGTGTGATTATAGAACCCTGCGTGAGTGCCTGCCTAAATATGAAAGTAAATTTCATTATTTTATGAAAATAACAATCTGTGTTAAATGTTTTGATATCTTTTAAGCTGTTTTCCTAAAACTGCATGGCTACAATGAGAGTGGTCGCTACGAAGATGTTCAGTGTTACTGCTTGGAAAACTGTAGAGATATATTGATAAGCAAAGGCAGAACAATCGTAAGTACACTTATATTTCAAACTCTCCAAACATAACATACCCCAAATAGCAAATTATAATATATATATATACTAGATAACCCGACAAACGTTGTTTTGCCTTATAAATTATTTCTAGTTTCTAGATAAATTCTAGTGTAGACAAAAAGTAACATACTTATTATAAGTGTGTAAGTATAACCGAAAAGGAAAAAAAAAATAACAAACTCCAAACAATATTATTTTTAAGTTATTATAGTTTATTTATTAAATTATTAATTTAAAATCAATAGATTTGTATGATACCAAGTTCCCTGGCAACAACTGTTGTATCTTCAAATTTAAATTGTCTTGGATTGACTGTAAATAATAATAATGATAATGGGCCAGTAACATTAACCAACAACAGTCGAAGATAAAAGCACTCAGTGTGTCTTGGATTAACTATAAATAAGCGTTCGATTTAAATAAATTGAGACATGCATCAACTGGTGAAACTTGCTTGCGGGGCATCCATTTTTTTGTTTGAGCCCATGTGAAATAGCGTGGTACTTGTGAATAGAGTAATGTTCTTGCAAAGGCACCAAAATCATCCGTACTATTATACAATTCAAAAAATGCAGTGAGTGTAGATTTAGATGGATTTGTACCACGATCAATCACTGTCTCGTTCGTGAAAAATATACGCTGACCGTTTTCAAGATGAACGGCTAACTGAACAGCTGCTGGATCCCGTTCATGAATTAGAAAACCGAAGATACGCCAAGCAGCTTCATTGGAGCTGTAATTTCACCGTTTTTGTTCATTGGAGGAGCATTTACATTAGTAAATGAGTTTTTACTCTAAACACAGCCATATCACTGCCTTTATGGACATACTTGTATATTTGATGCTCTTCACAGAACTGCAAAACTCAACATTTATATGAGCATTGTATATCTTGCTTAGCAGAGGCGAATACGGCATTATTGTCCCCCATTATCGGGATTTCTTTGACGATATATTGGATATCCGTCGGTATTTGTTATAGTATCATTAGTGAAATCTTTAGAAAAATGTTTAGTACATTTTCCATCTGCCATGCAAGGCGAAGACGAAGAAACGAACTGGATGTAATGCTCGATGTACTTGTTGGCGTAGTTACATAAAATATTAAGAAAAAAATTTTTCTTTTTCAAAAACATAAACAAAATTTATGTCAAAAAAATAAAAATTTTTTTGTTAAAGCAATAAGGATATTTTTTGCTGGGTAGGGACTCCCTAATCACTTTCGCGGTATGAAAAATAGATAGTAGCCGATTCTCAGACCTACTAAATACGCATATAAAATTTGGTAAAAATCGGTAAAGCCGTTTCGGAGGAGTACGGTAACTAACATTGTGACATGGAAATTTTATATATAAGACCGCAAACAGGCATCGTTTGGCCTTGTGACTTATTGATGGTCTTTGCAAATGCCAATCTAATAGGAAATTGAACGCGTTTGAATTAAATTAGCTTGTCTGTGAGAATCATTGGAATTCGTGGCAATAAAACTTTTTCGTTTCGGAACTTGCCATTCAAAATGGTGGCTTCGATAATGTTTTTCATCAATTTTTTGATTACCAATCGCGTACTATTGTACTATTGTATTGTATGTGTACATCTGGAAATACGCGGTCAATGAGAGCATTTTGGGAATCAACGATAGTGCGGAAATAAGGGGGCAGTTTTATGAATTCAGTATTTTCATAGACAACAACTTTTCATATCATAGCAAGTTTTCTTATTCAAAAATGTAAAAAAATGTATGTCAAAAAAATAAAAAAATTTTTGTTTAAGCAATAAAGATATTTTTGCTGGATAGGGACACCCTAATCACTTTAGCGGTATGAAAAATAGATAGTAGCCGATTCTCAGACCTACTGAATACGCATATAAAATTTGGTAAAAATTGGTAAAGCCGTTTCGGAGGAGTACGGTAACTAACATTTTGACAACGTTAATTTTATATATAAGATTATAACAAAATGAATAAAGTTTCTTTCAGTTTTAAAACGAATCTTTAATTTACAGGAAATGTTTGGAGAAGCTACCTTAATGCTTGACAGCGTGGGTATTATTATTTCTATGACAAACCGTCCAACATCTCGTTTAATACGGCAAATAATATTTTCTTTAACTGACTTATTAGGTATAAACGTTTTTCGTTAGACGTTCTTTAATTTAACTTATTTAAAGTATCGTTTGTAGTCGCTATTGGAGGAACTGCAGGACTTTTTCTTGGCGTCAATGTTTTGGGAATAATCGAGATAATATACTATTTTACATTGCATTTGTTTTGGCATTTACGAGGCTACAAATAAATAAACCTTATATATAACAAAATGAATAAATATGCTTTTATGTTTAAATTCACACCTTACAAATAAATGCATTATCAAAAATTGCTAATCTGTACTATTTATATATATATAATAAAGAGAAGCATTTTACTTCAATTCCATACAATTGTTTTTACTATATATATATAATAAACTGCTAGTTGTTTTCCTTTTAAGCTGTACATAAAAATTTAATATTAATAAATTGACATTAAACACGCATGTGGAAATCATTTTTAAATCCAAGTATCCAACCATTTTTGCACCCTACAATAAATCTTACTTATTCTAAATAAATTGATATTCATACGTAGGCCACCTTTTAAGACTTGCGCCTAGACAACTTTAAGTATAGCCAGGTGAATTTTGGCATTTCTGTTCGAAAGTTTGACATTTTCTAGAATAATTTTTCTAGCTCTCTAGCGTGAATGAACGTTTTAGTTTACGAAAACTCTACAAAAAAATAAAAATAAATAATAAACATTTTCGTGTGGTAATTTTTTATGATTTTCGGCCCGATTAACCAGAAAGAATACATCAATCAACTAAGTTCGACATTTGGTGATGAAATACGACATCCTGTTTAATGAGTTCGAGCATGGTCATCTATGCTGTACAATGAAACATCAATGTAGTGCTCCATCTCAAATGATTGAGATGGATCAGCATGTTACATAACGGGAGATAGAGGCGTCATCAGGAATTAATGGGAGCAGCATATATTTAATTTTACATATACATTTAACTGTCAAAAAGACAGCATGTTTTTTCAGAAAAACCGATCATGTCATAATTGTACTACTTGAACAAACACCCCGTTGAGACACTTAAAACCTTGGTTTTGGAGCTACCAATTCAGAGTGACAAAACTTTTTCGCAAATTGGTATAATCGAATGCAAAAATTTATTGATCATGAAGAATACTTCAAACAACAATGAAACCATTTTCACTGATTAATCATTGTATTTTCATTGTTAGGAGCAGGACTTAAAAGGCACCCCTCATATTACTACGGGTTTTCAACAAAAATTCTATAGAATACAAACATATAGCTTTACAGTTGTGGGAAATAAGTAATAGAGTTCATAGACAAGCGACATTTACTTTACTGGTTGACAATTTATTTTATTCTAAAAGCCTACGCACCCTTCCGAAAAATCAATAAATTAGCAAGATCTTGGCTAGTGTTTGATTACAAAGCGATTAAAAGAATAATACTAAAAGCTTTTATATTATAATAAATTTATCATGGCTTTTTGATGGAAAAAAAATATTGTACAAGCTCAGCAATGGCTTCAAAAGTAGTATCCGGACTCTGCTCCATCGAAAAGAACCATTTTTTATTGATATGCTAAATTTAAACGTGGTCGTACAGACACCGATGATGGTGAACGTTCTGGTCGTCCAATTGAGGTGGTTACTCCAAACAACATCAAAAAAGTCCAGAAATTTGGGTATATCTGATCGTAAATTGAAATTGCATGAGATAGGTGACACCGTAAAGATATCAAAAGGCAGTGTGTTTACAATTATGCATGAACATTTGACCATGAGAAAGCTCTTTTCAAAGTGGGTGCCGCGTTTACTCACAGTCGATCAAAAACAACAACGTGTTGATGATTCAGAGCAGTGTTTATATAATAAATCAGATTTTTTGCGTCGATATGTGACAATGGATGAACCATGGATCCATCACTTCACTCCGGAATCAAAACGATCATCATCTGAGCGGACTACAGCCGGTGAACCACGTCCGAAGCGTCCAAAGCCACAACAGTCAGCTGGGAAGGTTATGGCTTCAGTATTTTGGGATGCACATGGTATAATCTTCATTGACTATTTCGAAAAGGAAAAAACCAACAATATTAACTACTACACGGCATTACTGGATCGTTTGAAAGCAAAAATTGTGAAAAAACGATCGCGTATGACGAAGAAAAAAATTTTGTTTTACCAAGACAATACACCATGTCACAAGTCAATAAAAACGATGGTAAAATTGTACGAAATATACTTCGAATTGCTTCCTCATCGGCCGTCTAGTCCAGATCTGGCCCCTAGCAACTACTGGCTATTCGCTGATCTCAAATAAATGCTCGCCGGTGAGAAATTCATTTCAAATGAAGATGTAATTGCTGCAACTGAAACATATTTTGAGTTAAAAGACAAATCCTTCTACAAGCACGGCATCGAGAAGTCAGAGAATGAATTGGAATGAATGTATTCCCCTTGAAGGAGATTATATTGATGAATAAATTCGATTTTTGGCATAAAAATTTGTTTTTCTTAGTCAGTCACACGTCTTATTCACAGATGTGTTACAATATACGAAGTTGATATATATATAAGAATATATAGAACTATAGTTGTAATACTTAAGCAGGTTCAAGCCTTAACTCAACTAAAATATTTTGATTTTTAAAATTAAATTAAAAAAGAAAAAATATTGTTTAAGCTTCTGGTTTAAATAAACTCCTCATACTGTATTTACAAAAATTTTTTAAGTATGGATATAAAAATTTATTTGCACCGATAGGTCGCTCCCGATGAACGATTGAGAAACGACTATCATATATGGCTGAACTACTAGCTTACAAGTATTATCACAACATTCATCACAAATTTGTGTTGATGCAGGAATGAATCAATTATTGTCTCTTTCAATACATTATAAAGATCAAAGCAAATTTTCTAGATCATTTTCATGAGTTTGTGAAAAGAATAAAATCTATAAGTTAACACTCGCGTTCTCTTGAAAAAGAAAAAAAAAAAAAAAAAAATTTAATACGACCCTTGCGCTTAGTTTCAGTAACGGCATAATCTTGCGATATTATTCGATCGCCTGATTGCTTCCAAATGGAACATCAACCCGTTCATCTGGAATAGTCCCGTTTGGCCTTCGTAGCTCTTAACTCGGCAATTACTTGGGCTTATGAATCGACGAAACACGTTCGTCTAAGATTATTTGAATACGAGATAATAAAATACCACGTTTTTATAAAAAATCATTTTTTAAATTAATTATTAACTTATATACATATATAGTATTATTACTTTTTTGCGTGAAAAACCTGCATAACATCTGCTTTATTACCGCCCATCGCTTATGCGACGAAAGCATAATGGGTGAATGGATCTATAACCACCGTCATTACATAATCCAACTTTCTTCTTGTGTTGGCCAAAGTCTTAATACTTAAATAAGAATACTTTAATATATAAATTAATAATAAAAATAATATATTAAAAAAAATTTCAATGATTACCTTTTTACGAAACGTTTTCAAAAATCTACTAAAACAAAAAATAATCTACTAACTCTCAAATTAACTTTTTAGTCAGCCGGCCAGTCTAAATACAATATCTAAAGCGTATAATAATTTGTAAAATATACTACTTTCTGATAACTTTCTAATTCTTTTCTTGTCAATGGAATAAATTTAAGTTTAGTTAGTTCAGATCACATATCATGGGCGTAGCCAAGGGCGATATAGAAGACTGTGGTATATAGATCCAGCATATAGATATGCTGGATCAATAGCAAGGATATTGTGCAGTATTTAATGATAATTTCAGTAAAACAGTGGGATGACGTTCTTTTTGTTTTTGCATTTCTGACTTTATGCGGGATTATTCTTCTTTAATCCTTTAGCTACGCCTATGTCACACGTACTAATATGTGCAATGTTGACTGCAGTCACACTAAATATTTTACCACGAATTCAAATTGCGTGTTTTTGGACTTTGCCTTCATATTATTATTAGTTAACAATTAATTACCGTGTCACTTTTTAAGGGAGTTGCTGGTTATTGTTTTGAATTTATTCTTATTTCGATTTTCATTCCACTTACAACATATAAAAGACACCATAACAATTTAAGTGCTTGAAATATGTCCACCGTGAGCAATAAGTCTTCGAAGAGACCATTATTAAAAAACATTTCATCATCAATTGGTGGATTATGGCACACATTCTTCACCAACAATGCCATTCACGGAATAACATATTTAGTCAAGGAACAATTAACCAGTATTGAAAAGTAAGTTAAATTTTATTTAATTAAAACTATCCGCAACGTTGTCAATATCTTATTATCTTAAAAAGTGCTAAAAATATTTTTTCTAACACTCACTTTTTTAATGGTCCTGTGAATAGTGGTACCGGCTGATTTTTCCAACAAAGCTACACAAATTTGTTCATTGTTACTCATAGAGCATAAGTCTAGCATATATCTAGCTGCTACTAAGTTCCTTACATTTATTTATTGTATTATACTGATTCTTTATCATAACTCGTGTCGGATTAGTTATTTACTCATATGTATATGGAGTTCTATAACATAAGACGTTCATTTAAATTATGAACTTAAAAAATATAAATATAAAAGTTGCATTTAGCCCAGTTAATATTTACATGACACATTATACATTCACAAATGTGATTAAAAACTTTAATTTTTTCAGGATTTTGTGGTTTATACTTATTATCGTATCGATCTTCTTTACTGTTGTACTCAGCTTGCAATCCATTGATCGGTTTAACAGAAAAAGCACTGTTATAAGTCTAGAACGTGACAGCTATAATTTTATAACGTCAATGCCTGGCGCTACAATTTGTCCTATTAAGCGCTTAGACAAAGGACTTTATGATGCATACTGTCGGTGAGCTATTCAATACTATTTGCACAAATAAAAAATAAGCAATACTAATTGATTGTGATTACAAACCGATATCTGCTTGCAGATTTTTATAAAATATTATATTTTTTTCTTTTTCAGAGAAAAAAACCTTTCCGGAGATTATTATAAGGATTTATTTGTATTTTTAGAATCACTAGCAAACTCAACTTACGGCAACTTCAATGCAATACTTGCCTCTAATAATATAGATATTATATTAGATAAACTAAATATTCGACCTGAAAATTATATTGAACTTATTTTCAATCTAACTTTAGATAACACTTTTAAAGACAAATCAGAATTATCAATAATTGATACGAAAATACGCGGTTCTGCAGGTAGTAACATAATATATACCCGTCAAGTCTTAACTGAATATGGTCTCTGCTATATAACTAATACTTACTTGGAACCAAAGTACTCATCGTATTATTTTTTCTATGGCAAACCATTTGAAACCAATTACAAAGACTTAAAGCTAATTAAAGTTATTAAAGGTGGATATTTCAGCGAAGATATGTCATATACGTTTAAGGGCTTCTTCAATACACCCATAGAGGTTAATTTGACTTGCTAATGAATAATAAAATTTTAAAAAATTTAATAAGTTTATATATAATGTTTTAGCCATACATTCATAGTCCTCACGAAGTGATGCAAGTAGATAAAAGCTTAGGAACCACCGAAGAAGCTTGTAATCATTTTATGGAAACTTTAGAAATAATTACCGAAGAAGACTTTGATACGTAAGTACACATAAGATATGAGCACAATAGATTTAATAAGTACAATTGTATAATTTCTATTAAGGAATTGGTACTTTCTTTATGACATTAAATAATTCTTCATTATATACGGTTTAACAATCCATCAAGCACCTAAACTTGCTTAGCAATCCTCCTTTCGCTATCTCTATTTTTTTCCGTTCACCAATTGTGTACTTATATAGTTATAAAAACTACTACAAATACAAAACTAGTTAATATGCTGGTTAAAAAACCAAATTAATCTGTCATCCGAATTCATGATTCATAAAGGACTAAAGTAAGGCGAAAAAATAAAAAGACATTCCCGCAAATTACTAAGTGTGAAAATACACGATAATATTATTATAATGGCTCGTACGTTAGGTGAACTACGAAATGAATATATAAGTAAATGTCAATCAAATCAAGATACTGCCTGTTATGAAATATTAAAGTAAGTTCAAGATAGTTAAATCCTATACATTAACGATAACAATGACATTAATCCAGAAATTATTAAAAACAAGTTTATCTGCTCAACGTACATATTAACATATGACAAAGAAACAGAAATGACAGAACCTGCTACACAATCTACTTGTAAATCAGTTCTTTCCTATGCATGTGAAACATGGACGCCGCCCATATTACACATATCTGCTTTAAAAGATATCAGAAGACGATTTTAAGCAAGACATGTAGTATATTATACGAGTATGAATGTGATATTATAACACCCATTAAAATCTCTATGTTAAAATATGCAAGACTTATGCTTAGAGTTAGACCCTTAGCCAGAGATTTACTTCAGATAAAAATTCGTGTCGACTATATTTTTGTTGCATTAATATTGAACATACATATATTATATATACATACAGTCCTTCAATTCATTCTGGGACAATACACTTCAGAAAATATTTAAAGCGCAATTCTGGACACTCCTTGATACGGGTAACACCAGGGTCGAGATGTAATACCTAGTGATGATAGTAATCTATCGTCTTTTTTGTTCAATATTATTTATTATTTTAACTCTATGATTCCTGAAAACAAGTACATCCAAAGGTGATAAGGTTAATATAGAAGCAGTGAGAGAGGATTGTGTAACAGTGTTGGGTAGAATAAGGAGTTTGCTCGTCCTTTTTTGTGTCTCTTAAATACTAATTAATTGCAATAAGTTCAATGAGATCTAAACTGCAGGTTGATAGTGATTTAATTTTACAAATTTATGTGTTATAAATTATATATTTTAAAGATAATCATATTACTTACTTCATATTCATATATTCTATAGAGGTACTACCATCAATCAAAGACAGTGTCGTTTTCAGCACGAAACAAACTTAACACATTTTCCGATATACACAAAAAATTTATGTGTACAGGAATGTCGTCTTAATTTGGTATACAAGATATGTGGCTGTATACCCCATTTTTATCCAAATCGAAGTAAGTATATGATATTATACATAATTGCTAGTGCCTCGAATATTTTCGAACTGAAGTAGTAGTTCGAGCATGCTAAAGTAGCACTAAGTTGGAGTACGACGAAGTGTTCGAAATGAGGCAAAGCGTAATGTTCGAATATAAAATCGAACATTAAGTAGATGCGCTGCCGAGCAACTCGAACATCTTGAAACAGCTCGAACGTTTCAGAACAATAAAATCACGTCACATTTTTGGATCATTAAATGTACGAATTCAAGTATACTGGAGGTGCTCGAAAATCGTTATGTTCGAAAATTTTGAAGCACTACTATATATGTACATATACATTGAAATTTTACTTTACCAGCTTATATATAATTAGTTGCAAATCCAAAAGCAGTTTGTAGCTACAAACAACTTAAGGAATGCTTATCAATGCATGAAGGTATGTACTATATGATATATAAAATGTAAAGTTAACAAAGATAACTCTTTCGCAGAATGGTTTATTAAGCTTGACAACAAAGATACAGATAGCAGTAATGTTACTGTGAAACAGGATCCATGCTATTGCTTACCAAATTGCCTTGATGCTATTGTAAAACAAAGGAGCCTCTTTGTAAGTTAATAATATATGTATGTAATTCTTTATATTTACGATTCTTGTAATATTTGCAGGTGATGAGCGACTCCGGCAGTATTTTAGGCGGCAACAGTATAATTGTTAGTCTTTTCCAAAGACCACAAATGCGCCTAAAACGTCAACTTATATTTACATTCACTAATTTGTTAGGTAAAACTTGATTTCTTTCTATCCTTTTTATATATGTATACGCAATTGTTTTGATGAAACAAAAATTTTAGTATCTATTGGTAGTACCGTTGGATTGCTACTTGGCCTGAGTGTGATGGGTGCCATAGAAATACTTTATTACTTTTCTTTACGTATGATGTGGTATATATTTGGCTATAAAATATAATTTTATGCACTTCTTCGACACCCAAGGAAATTTGGCACACACACAGAAGTATTGAAACCTTCTCTACCAACAAAATAAATTTCTCATTCCATAATTAATTATCAACTTATGTTTATTCATATAACTAATAATAAAAACAATTTTTAAAAGTAATATATCTGTACACTGATACGTGTGTTGTTTTTGTTTGCACTAATGTTTTTTTATTATAAACTCAATAAATAAAAATTGAAATTTTTTTATATTTAAATACAAATATAGACAAAGGTTTATAATATCAAATTATATAAAAATATTTTTCTTCGTCTGTAATTATGCTAAATAGTCTAATTAAACTTAAAATTTTTCAGAAGTTGAGTTAAAAATCACAAATAAATATATATCATTTTTTATATTTAATTTAGTGGAAAATTGTAAGCATAATTTAAAAATGCTGAAAAATGTTTAATGTTTGTTAAAATTTGAAAAGAAAATTATTTCATACAACAAAAAACGAAATTTCATTAAACAAATAACTTTTCTTCTTCTTACCGAATTTCTAGACTATCAAGTTTTTCACAACTTCAAACTATTTTGCTTTTATTTTTCCACTTATCCACATACGTTTTTCGAATTTCCCAAAAAGTTATTGCAATTTTTTAAATTAAATTTTAATTGAACTTATTGGCAAAATTGAAATATTTGTAGGTGTAAACAAAACCGTGACAGCAATGCAGTTGGGACTTGCCAAAAACTTGCTAGTATGATCGCAGGGTCAATCTCCAGTTCTAAGCTTAATATTAAAACAAACGTTTTAAAGCTTCGCATATTGAATTACATTTCAAATTAAAAATGGTTGAGTTTATGTTAAAAATGCAATATTATAGTCAACTTCCTCTTATATAAAATCTTATTAATTAATAATTAACAATAATTATTTTAATCAACATATTTAAGTTCATGTCTGTATATGTTACTTCAATTTAGTAATTGTTTTGATTTGTGTCATAAACACCAAAAAATGCTAAACTGAATATTTGTGTGATAATTATTCAAATGCTATTGTTCTAAGTATAGAGATATATATATGTATATATAAATAAAAATTCAGTTTTGTAAAATTTTAATTTTTTTGTTAAATTATTAAGCTACTCTTATATTATATTTCCTTTTTTCAACATAGACTTTTTCTCACTTACTTATCAATTAACGTTTTGCACTTCATTCGTACTAATTATTTCATAGTCTTTGCCAGATATTTCTGATTCCGAATCCGAAGCACTTCCAGAGCTGAAAATTAGTAAAGTAAAGCTGTATATAATAAATTTTATATAAAAGTTTTTAAAACTCTTTGTGGTGCCATGGTATGTTAGTTATGTATAGCACTACGTACTTCATATCAACAATTTAAGAATAAAATGGTATAATTGAAATGAATTTTGAAGCTATTTTGATAATATTTGTTAATTTGTTATATATAAAATATGGGATTTCTGCAAAACCCTTATCTAACATTATAAAATCTTGACCCCATATCAAAGCTACCTTATCATAAAATTTTCTTCAATGTCAGCAAATTTAATTTATTTTAAGATCTTATAACATTTACAGAATCTCATTAAAAGTATTCAAACCAAACTTGGTAAGAGAACTTGATCACATCGCCGCATAAAAACACATTAATCGAATAGATAGTTACCAACTTCAGACCCATTTCTCATCCCCCTTATCGCCCAATCTCCTACGGAAAAAATCTGCGCGGTAATACTCTCGTTAAAGTCAGGTAATCATAAACTCCCATTAGAAGCTTTAATATTGATTTCTTCGTGAAAATCAATACAGCTTTCGACCAAACCGTATCTGTATTGATCTAATTACCATTATCCGTATTATTTTCAAGCAATGTAATGAGTTAAGGACGTCAGTGTACGATGTTTTCATTGACCACAACAAAGCTTTTAACAGCTTAAACAGAGAGTTCCTATGATGCGAAGTGTCCTTGTTAAACTTTTAAACATAATAAAAGCATTGTACAACGAATTCTTTGGGGTCAATACGGGCGTAAAACAAGGTTTTATACTGTCCCTAATACTCTTTATATTGATACTAGATGACATCATGCGTTCTACAGTAACTGATAGCGTCAGAATACAATGAACACCCTTTAGCAAACTTGGTGATGTTGAGTATATAGAGACGACGCCTGTCTTCAAAGTCATAAAAGTTCTGTGTTACAAAACAAAATTGACACGCTTAGTTACTGTACATCCCATGCCGACCTGTACATAAGTCATGAAAAAACAAAAGTAATATGCAGCGGATACACTATCCCGGATTCTCCACCCATTAGAATTGGTAATGACGCAGTTGAGCACGTAAAGTCATTTCCATATTTGATCGGCATCATCATGAATAAAAGTGGTACTGAAGAAGACGTTTCCGCTTGATAGCACAAAGCCAAGTCAGCATTCGAACAGTTAAACAATGTGTGGAAGTCTAACCAGATAAGTACCCGTACTAAGCTTTAAATATTTAACTCGAACATCAAGTCAACATTGTTCTACGAATGCGAACCGTGGAAAACACGACTTCTATTCCATCACACATCCAAGTATTCATGAACAAATGAAGAATAATACTGAAGAAGAATGAAGACATGGCGTAGAACCGTGAACCAGGAGCTTATAGATGCAGAGTACTCGTGGAATCAAATTGTTACTCCTGGAGCAATCGTTGAGGATCTATGCTTCACTAGGAGAAAAAAAACAGCATGAAAAGACGAAAGGAAGAATACTTTAAGAAAATTTCCGACCTAAATACTTGCAAAAATAGTGTTATCAAGTATTGCAGAACCTCTACATAACCTAATTCGATCTAAGTAATATAGATTTGAATAGTCTTGTATTGATCATATTAATATTACGTTTTGAATTTAAAACCCATCTGTGTTTACCTTCTTGGACTTCCAGTAAACATTCGATGTGCTTAATCACTTATAGAACGCTTTCTAATCCATATGACAAATTAAAATAATAAAATGCAATTACGTTGAAGCTACCTGTAAGGATGTGCATTCCCACCTATCCTCTTTATTAGTGCATTGGATAGCGTCCTCACAACGCTTGATAATCATTGATCTAGAAACGACTGGAGTGTAAAACATAATGATGACTTACGAAATGCTGATGACCTACAAACACTGATTTGAATGTAAAAAACTAGGAACTAGAATAATCATCACTAAAACTAAGTCTCAAAGAATTAATGACAATAACATTTAGCCTTTCATTATTAAAGTAGATTTTATAGAGTATGGCGAATAATTTCAATACTAAGACAATACCGTTTTGTCTGGTAGTGATACAACATCTGCAGTTATCAACACGTTGCGGAAGACAGAAAGTTCGTTTCCATACCTTAATACTCTATGGAAAGCTGTCGGAATACAAATATCCACAGAAATTAAAATTATCATTATGTATGGTATGTCTAGTTTTTACTATTGTATGAATCTGAAACAAGATTTTTAACCGGTGCAATCTAATATAAAGTACAAACATTGTTTAACATATAACTTTGGCAAACTCAAAAATCTGGTTGCCTTGAACCATTTACCACCGAATGCTACATCCTAATGGAAACGACTGCATGAAGAAAGAATACGATTGCTTATAAAATATATTCTGATTATCGATAAAATACATGCAGCATTGCACTGAAATTCAATAGGCAGACAAAACCGTGATTGGCCCAGAATGACTTAGAGAAGACTTAATGACTTAAACTCATAAACTACACATTTGATTTATGTGTATTTTTCAACGATCTGAAAAATGGTCGGTAACTTATCATTCTTTTACAATAATAAAGAATGTAATTTAATATATAGTAACATTTAAAATTACTATGTCGAAATCGTTCTTTTTATGGAAAATTAACTTAACTGAGAATTGAAATGAAAAGAATTTTAAAAATGAATCAATATTAATTATAATCACAATATCTATTTTATAAGCTTCATATATTCTTTATGGGACGACATAACAAATCAAATGGATCCGTGTATGAAAACGATATACATAAAATAACAAGGACAAGATGAAAACAAAAATATTTATATATATTATACGGATTAGAAAGAAATTAGTGCTAAGATTAAAATGCAGTTTGCACTATGCACTAGAACTGATTCTTATAATAGTAATTTAAATATTTTTTAAATTTTATATTTTTTAATTAATTTTTGCAGGCATATCTATACATACATTTCTTTCGCTTAGGCATTTAGTAAGTGCTCTTACATTTAAGATCGCATGATCTTATTCTTTATGCTTATGATGATTCAAATATCTTATCAGAAATACAATAATTCATATATATTTAATGTAATAAATTCTCTTCTAAATACGCTATGCCGTTAGAGACGAAAACAGGCATTGAATGGAATAGTGATATATACTTTTGAAATGCAAATATATAAACGTGTACTCATATTTAAGCAGTTATAGAAAATCAAGCTTATACTAAAACAGAGGCATAATAGCTAAATTATTTTGTATAAATAAGTTTATATACCATAAATAAAAATCCACTATAAATTATATACCATAAATCACCGAAACCCATCTAAAAATTTCCAATGTAAAAATTGCGAGTTTAGTGAAAAGCAATTCAAGTAAATTTTTGTTAGTTTATTTGATTTATTTTAAAAATTGTAATTAAATAAAAAATAAAAATGTTCAAACAATTAAAGTAAAAAGTTCCAAGTTGATTGATTTTAACAATATGAAAATAAAAGTAGCATACGATATAACCAAAAAATAAAAGACAATGTTAATATTGTTAAAAGCTATAAATACATATGTACACGCAATTGAGTAGGACGCAACGACAATAAGGATAAAAGCATTAACAGTAAAAATCATGTGTTACACCTCACCATTTGCCATCTGATTCCTGTGGGAAGTCATTGTTATCTTCACCACTACTATCTGTTTCGCGTTTTCCAGCCGCTACTTTACGTTGCCTCAGATCAATTTCAGCATCATGCTCTTTGATTTCTTCTATTTTCTCCGGCTCTAGTGAGGTTGAGCATAATGAAATATCATCTTCAGCATCACTATCCTTGTCTTTTTTCTTAGACTTACTTTTCGAACGTTTATCGTTCTTTTTATCTATATTGTTAGTGTATTTGCTCTAAAATAATATATAATTATTATTATTATTTGTTTAGCAATAATTATATTTAGCAATTACCTCATATAAAGGCCAAAAGGAAGCAAAGAATCCTACATCCTCTGTTAAATTGGGGAAAATCCAAAAATGCAATTTGCCGCCAGTAAGACCCCAAACAATTGAAAAGATTATTAAACGGATGACAGTTAAAGCCAATATAAAGACAAGAAAACCAGCAGCAGCTATTGATAAATAATAAACGCCTTTACGAAGCATTGGTGGCCATAATGGGAACATACAAATGCCTATAGCACCAAGCAATAAAATTAAACCATATATCCAGTAATGTAATGGTATAGGATCATATATCCAAACGTATGCCTCAGAACCATCTACAAATATCTGTTCTGGGTGCATATCAAGACGTACTTTCCGTTTACGTTTCTCTTTTTTATCACTACCACTACCTGCATCATCTGCTCCGTTTATACCGTTGCCCTCAACTTCAGCTTCTTCGGTCGTATCTCTTTTTTCATCTTTTTCTTTTTTATTCAATTTATCATCTTTTCTCTCTTCTTTGTCCTTCTTTGTAGATTTGTTAACGACCCGTTTATCATCCAATGTTATAAGAACTTTTTTAGCACGATGGTAAAATTTGTGTTCTAACATAACATCCAAGAAATCAATGATTTGTTCTCGAGTTTGGAAAATCGCACCAGTACCCTGAGCGAATTTTGATTTTAATAAGGCATCAATTGCCTTATTAGAAGTGAAATATTCCACATTGTGACTTAAAAATTTCGTTCTCTTCGTTTTCACATTCTTTTTCATCCATTTTGCAACACTATATTCGTCTTTAGATGGTTTTTCGGCTTCATGTTCTCCAGGCCCTGTATATTCCTAAACGATAAAGGAAAACAATGTTTTAATTTGTTTATTTGTTTATTTGTTTATTTGTTTTTAATATTTAATAAAACTGAAATAAATAGTAAAGTAAACCAACTAACTGAAATAGCCACGGTTTTTCTTTATTTCATCAATATACGAAACATTTCATTTTAAAGTTTTTTCACTTTTTGGATGGACTTTCTTGCTTCTGTAAACAAAAAACGCATGACACCGCTAAGTCCATTTTGAATATTAACACAGTTATAGGATGCAAAAAAAGAAAACTAACCAAAATTAACATGTTATTGTTATATAAAGCAGGTAACATAAAAAGAATTACAAAGACGTATGAATTACGATGATAATAGGTTATGTTAGTGTGAGAAGTGAGGGGTAGATGTATTATTTAGAAGTAAGAATGGATATAGGGATAGATGGAATTTAAATTTTGATTCCAAAAACCGATTGGACTCAAATTTATGTGTAGGATTAATCTGCAGTTAGAGCACACATTGAAAGTTACCGCATTTATGCGTGACAAGTAACTGTTTTGCATATGGCTATATCCTGAACTCAACTGAGTTCAGGGCAGAAACGTGTTGTCATATGAATCACTATCAGGTATGTTCCAGATTTCATTTAATTTTACAAATCATAAACGCCAGGAATATCGTACGATTTCGTGTTTTAATTACGAAGTGCGTATTAATTATGGTTTGCTCTTTTACCACTTTTTGCTAAGAAAGTCGTAAGATCTTTAGTGCTATACGAGTTGGCGACGACTATCACCTCCGTATTGATTATGGTTTCCTTTTTGTTTTCACTTCTTACAAAGAACGTCGTAAGATATTCATTGCTCGACAAGTTGGCGACAACTATCGCATCCGAATGAACCACGAGCTATATGAGCTTTATTACGACATTGATATAATTAATCGAAGTAACATCCAGTGGTTTCGATGGATTGGTCATGTCGTGAGAGTGAATGGCAAATCCATTCCAACGGAACAGGTATTTGAAACCTTAATTAAAGAAAGCAGGCGTAGTGGTAGACCGTGCCGCTGATAGAGTGATCTGATTGGAGAACCACTTATCGCACTTGATGAACGAAACTGGAGAAAGCGCACACGCAGTAGAGGCGAAGAAGTAAGCAAGTGTGGTTTGCATTAAAAAAGAATAACAAAAAAAAAAAGAAAAATATTAATACCATATCTAAGCGTGAAGTTAAATAAAATCAATCCGCAAAAATTCTTGTGATTAACGTTTTCAGAAACAGCTATTCCGATAACGAAAACAGACCTGTACATCTCAAAAACAGTTAATCCAAATAGTTGAGTCAGACACCACCTTTCATCAAGCATTTTTTAATTTGTTACTTATCTTTGTATTAAGTATAAAGTTAGTTAAAGAACTAACATATATTCGATAATTCTTTATCAAATTTGTTGGAATAGTTTTTATGTATCAAAAACAATTTTATCATAGAAATTTATTTTGTGTAAGAGTTTTTTATCCATTACGCAACGCTATCGTCCTCTAATATGAACCGGCATAATTTTGGAACTCATTTAAAAACAAACGCATATTAGACATTAAAATAAAGAGTATATTATGAACTAAATTCTGAAATACGAACGTAGAATTTTGAAAGTTAAAATTTTGTTTATAAACTTTTTTTAAGAACATGTGTTTCCGTAAACATTGAAAATGAACCCTGTACAACTAAGAAAACGTCTCTCTACGTTGACGCGCTTTAGAACAAAATACCCTCCACATTTATATACAGTGAAAGTTTTGTCAAACGGGCACTTTTATGAATGGACAGTATGTCCATTTTCAGTATGACGAGCATATCACCCAATCCAATCTCACTTGCTAATAATCGCCTTTCCCCTCTCACATAACCATTGCCAATCAACATCCTAACCCATATATTCGTTCTAACCCATCATGTATTTCTTTTATGTTTTTATTGTTTTTGTTTTTTATACAAAATGTGATTTTTTAAAGATAAAATTCTCCAAAACTGACTAGAATTCCTAATTCCGTTTGTGTCCACTTAAAAAAGTTTTCACTGTATTTTATTAATTTGAATTTCCTTAAAATATTTTCATTTACACCATTCACTGCAGATTAAAGCGCATTTTTTAATTCTATATAAATATATATATATTCATATTTAATAAAAAATATTTATATATATATATATATATATATGTATGTATGCATCTATATGAATATATATTATCAGATTGTTCAATTTGAAGTATTTAAAATACAAAATAAATATACGGACAAACAACAATAAAATCCACGTCAGACTTAAGCCATATACACTTTTATTGTCTGTCTTGCCAACACACCACACAAAAATTTTTGGTTACTTAATATGGAACAGCGCTCTTTGGTAATAAAAGATATATACATATATATATATATATATATATTCAAAATCGCGTTCAGTAAAAACAAATATATATATAACTGATGATCTTTGCTACTATAAAAATAATAACCTCGCCATCATCACATTCGCAGTCATCTTCTTCTTCTTCCGGTTTCGTACCACAAACTTCATCAGATCGCTCTTCAAAGTCCATTATATAGAAATATATAAATAAATTTAAACACTAATTATATAAAATTATATATTTTTTCAAAAATAGAAATCTGTTTTTAAGAAAAACAAGAAGCGCTTTCGGTACTGATTAGCGCATCAAGCGACCACAACTGAGTTTTAAGCCTAGAAAGTTTTTACTGATTCATCATTACACATCGCATAGAAAGTTTCCCCAATAACAACAACACTAAACGTCGTTACCACTACAACTACAACTGCAAGAAAATTTAAAAACAAAACAAGTGCCAGCGCAACTGCATGATGTGGTTTAGTGATCGCAGCTCCGCACAATATTAACGAAAACAGCTGGCGAAGTGCGCAACAGATAGGTGGGATAAAAGAAGAACAGTTTTAGAAGCCTTCCAATATATGTATGTATGCATGTGTGTATGCATATGTATTTATTTTTTAAGAAAAACGTATTCAGCTGAATATGTAAACAACTCGGAATTGGGACCTGCAATGCAGGTGAATTTGTGTGTAAATGTTCGAATTCGTGTGACTTTAAATATTTATAGTTAGAGGCATACATATCGCAGTTTAAAACAGAATTGGCGCATACTTCGTATAAAGAAAAGAAATTTCATTCTTTTTTTTAGTTTTTGGAGCAACGAAGAAACCAGTTTTCTAATTTCTTATTTTTATTCATTAACCTAAATTTTTTGTAAATATTTTCTCAAGTTTCTCATACATGTGCGTATATATTTATGAGCAGCATAATAAATATCAACAGTTTTATTAACTATTATTGTACAGTTTGGATACAATAAGGAAATTCCATTTAATCGTAATAACGTAATTTCCGTGTATTTCAAAAAAACTATACGCACATAAACATATATGTATTATTTTGTGTTTTATAAATACTTTACACATATATTTAAAACCATCTGAAATCAAATAGATTATATATATTTTTATAGACTACATGGTATTAATTAATTTAATTTATTAAGTTCCAAGAGCATTTATTGACTGGAGATAAGAAGTCACCACATTTCTCTACCTGCCAATACTGCTTTCAAGTACAAATTTATGTGCGCTTAGTTTATACCCAAATTGATTAACTATTGTATTATCACTTTAATAGATTTCAAAGTCTTTCCGCATTTTAAAATCTTTTTTATTCCTCTTAGATTATTAAATTTAATACGTATGTATATTTTTATATACATATATGTTTTAAAAAATTTTGAGATATTTGCGAATCTTCAAAAAAAATAATTACTACGATAAGCGAAGACAATATTATAGTATAGATAACAACAAATTTGTTATATATATACAGCACAATATAATTTACCGGTAGATTACAAAAAATTCATGAGAAAGGTTATTAGTAGGTGTAAAAAACATTTGTTGCATACTCATTTCGGTATATTGCGATTAACCGTACCTTATATTTAAATCAATAATAACTCCACATAGCTTATGATATGTAAGTACTAGACAAAACACTAGTAAAACTTTATATAAACAACAAATAAAAAATTATAACTGCAAATTACATATTTTCCAAGAGGTAAATTCAATGTAGCTTATGTGTCACAATACGCCACATATTATTTGCACAAAAGAGATCGAAAATATTCCTTTATATATTTTATTCTTTCTGTTTTAATCATTTTTTAGCAAATTTTTTTGTGGAGTCTTACTTCATATAAATTTTAATATCTGCAGAAAAATTAATTACTAAATTGAAAGTAACAATTATATTTTTGCTTTATACACTTACGTCTTTACGACGTCTCGAACGTTTTTTTTCAGACATCTCAAATCACAACTTATTTTACACGTTCAAAAACAACTTAAATTTCCCAAAACTATCCTCTCACCGCAAAGTCGAAACGAAAAATGAGTATATATTGTTCTGCTTTACTTCACCCACTGTTTTACAGTACAATTTATTTTTGAAATTTTCATACGTAAAAGAGAGACGAGTCTACACTCATTTTGACAGATCAATTCAGTAATCCAAATATGTCAACATACATTAGTAGATGTTGCAATTTATGCGCTTAAAGTTGTGCAAAAAGGTAATTGAGTTTACCATTTTGCTTTCCCGTATCTGAAAAGAAAATCAATAAGAATTACTTTTGTCATAAAGCAAAGAAGATAAAGAAAAGAAAATGAAAGTTATACTGGATTAATCAAATATTCAAAATTTTGTGTTATGAGGTGAAATCATCACGCAGTACAAAAACAAAAAACCTAATGCTACGCAATGGCGCGTTATATTTTACCCACCCGGTTCCTACTTAAATTTTGTTGTTTTGATTTGGTTTTTGACATTAAAAATCCGTTACTTAATCGTAAGCGCTAAAGTTGCAATTAGGTGCACATACTAATACAAAAAATAAAGCGGAATTAAATTTTAATTACAAAAGCAATATAAAAGGTTATTATTTTACAAAAATATACGAATTATTTATTAAAATTTTTTTACAGATGAAACGAAGAATTATCGAAGTTAAATTATTAACTAAAAACAATACAATTTATTGTTGTAGAAAAAAGGGGATACCTATATGTATTAACATATTAATAATTTTAAATTAATTCATTAATTTTGCACATCAGTTAAAGTGATTAGAATATTTATTATTTTTAAACTTTTTCCCATAATATAATAATAATTATGAAGATGAAAAAATCTTGAAGCAATATTAATATTTTCAATTATACTTCAGTAGTGTGTTGTTATTGATATATAGATATATATAATTATGGTAATTACATTTTAACAAATTTCACATTTGTAAAAAATTATATATGTATGTGTTCTAAAAATATATTGTACAATTTGTGGTTTTGTTTTTTTCTTTAAATACTAATTTTTAAATACTTTACAAAATTAGTGCATGTTTTCTTAAGAATTTTATGTAATGGGCGTTTTATAATTATTAATATAGAAATGAGTGAAAGACCCTGATAGGAATTACTGACTTCACAAACGGGATATTTTATGCTTGTGATAGGGATTGCAAAAATGCGTTTCGCAATATTTATTTAAGTAATTAAAAAACGTTGATCCCTAGATATGTTACTCTAATTGCAAAATAGAATCTTTTCTAGTTTTTTTCATAAGAGTAAGAAATTACTTTCTCTTAAAAGTTTTCAATCGAGATAATAACGTTTCGAATTTTAGACAAAAAAGCTTTTATACTCTTTAAGTGACTTTTTGCTTCAACTTAACAAAACATTTTAATTTTATAATTTATGAAATTTATTTATAAATTATATTTAACTGTATTGTAAATATAAATTGTATCATATTAAACATTTTTAAAATAGTAATACTGTTTTGTAATATTATATATTTTTTTTTATTTTTTATTATTAAGTGCATTAAGTACATTAAGTACATGCTTTTGATTGCACTATCTTAAAAACTAACTTAAAAGCTAACAATATATTCATTTAAGTATAATTTATTTAGAAATTACAAAAATTAGAAAATATAATAAAATTGTGTTGAAATATTAGTATCAACTAATCTATCTTTGTCGTAAAGTGTCGAAAGCATTTGAGAGAGACATATTAAGGTGGATCCACACCAAAGCGCGCGCTTGCGAACGAACGAACTTTTGCAGGTGCAATTACCTGCGAATGTTCGTTCGTTCTCTTTAATGTGAATGCACTTTTAGGTATATTCTTTTGACATTAATGTTCCAATAGAATACGTGTCGCTTAAAAATTACCATGCAAAGCAAAAATAAAATTCGCAAAAATAAGTAACATGGGCCTTACACAACCATTTATTTATATACTGCAGTTTTACTTTAAAACTATTCTGAAAAAACGTTTTCAAGCACACTTTATAAGGTTGCATTAATGTTAAAATATAAAAACCTATTCGAAAGCACATATCATAATAACATGAAAACAATAAAAAAACATTTACAATAATTAGTAATTGTTGTAGTTTTTAAAATTATTTTCAGTTTAAAAAAGTCAAACTCACGAATCTGCATTATATTTGAAGATAAGCTGTCCTTCCATCCTGTTGTCTGGTTTACCTTAAAATTTTAATTTGTAGGTAACATATAAATTGTAAAATTAAATAACTTTACTGTATTGTATACATAAATACATAAAATTACATACCATGTATATATATAGTATATATACATATCTATCTGTATTTATGTATATAAAAAATCTTTAAAAATTTCATCGCTTCTGTACCACAAGAGAACTACTTTCAAAAGCGAACTCCTATATAAAGTTGAAAGTGCCACATTTACTAGTTTGTAGTTTGACTTCATAAATTGGGATCAGCAGTTTAAATGTCAAAAATGTTTGTTTTTAAATAAGCAATGGAGTTATTATTTATTTTTCTGTCACACACAATATTTATTTGTTATTGTATAATTTTGCTTTGAAGAATTTATATTAAATAGATAAAAGCCGAAAACAGAGAACAGCAAATATGTTTGTGCTACAATGCATACTTAAAATGATGGAACGACATGCTATGTGTAATATTCATGAACGTTCAATGCACATCAAGCGATCGGAGATGTATAAGGTAATATTATATAATTATTTGTTTAAGTATTTTATTTTAATAATTGCGCATTAAATGTTTGTAGATATGTTTTCGTGTATTAGGTGTACCTGAGACTGCTGATCAAGACACTGTTCGCCGTGCATATATTACATTAGTTAAAAAGGTACACCCAGATTCTGGTCATGCGGAGGCATCAACCGAACGCTTTAAAATTGTGGACGAAGCTTTTAAGTTGCTACAAGAGAAGTTTGCAAAAAATCGAAGAGGCATATATCCAGACGAAGAAGAAAAGGTTTTCGACATACGACACACCGCACCGCAGCATCGTCAATACTTAAGTTTTGACGGTCAGGGAATTGGGAATCCGTCCCAAAGAGAAAAACAGTACCAACAAATCAAAGTTGTTACAGCAAGACAACGTGTACTTAACCATGAAATTGAAAAGTCAAAAGCTGGTGAAAACACATTAATGAAAAAAGGTACATTTTTTGAAAAACATAACACAAAAACAAAATATGGATACGAACGTGTCGTCGAAGACCTCATACAAGAAGCTATGCTAAAAGGAGATTTTGATAATCTCAAAGGTACAGGTAAACCGCTTCCTTATGAGCAAAATCCTTTTTTAGACTCTACAACATACAAATTGAATAAGATTTTAAATGAGGGCGGTTTCAAACCCGAATGGATAGTGCTTCAACAAGACATAAAAGACTCCATAAAGAAGTTAAAGTACGATATTGAAGTGAAACGTTCAAACTTCGGCGATTATCCTTTCGACGAACAAACGAATGCTAAATGGAATGTTGAGCTGGCAAAATTTGAAGATGAAGTCAAAAAAATAAACAAATGTATCGACAAATTTAACTTAATCGCGCCATTTATAAGTATCCATTTTTTTCGTTTAAAACTAAATACATTAGCAGAAAAAATTTTATCCGATCCAAGTGTGCCAAAGAAAGTTAAAGACGTATCAACACTGAAAAGCCCGTCGTTAAACAAATATAACGTTGATTTTTTTTCATCTCTGTTTTCGATTTTTGCAAGTAAAACCTAATACGTAGTAATAATATATATATTAATAATAATATTAATATATATATATAATTATATGTTATGCGTTAGATGTTATATATATTTTTTAAATTCTAATATTTATATATTAATATATTTTTGGTAGTTTTTAGAAGATATGTTTTATCATATTCTTATATAACGAGATTTTTATTGTTTTTATATGTGATATATTTTTAATTGATTTTGCCTTATATTTATTTATATTAGTATTATTTATTATAGTTTCCAAAATTGTTTATTTTTTAATTCTAGTGCTTCAAACTTATTTGTAAAATATAATGACATATTTTTATCAGTCTTAAATATTATGTATTTTTTACCATATTCAAATGTATTTTTAATAGTTTTCAATATTATATATTTTTTATATAAAATGAATTTATTAGAACTACTAAATATAAAACATTAATTAAATTTTTGTGATAAAGCGTGTGATAAATTTTTGTTATTATTTATTTAATAAATAAAACATATAAAATAAAAATATTACATAGTAGTTTTACATTATTAAGCAATATAACTTATACTTAAAATGACTTGTGGTTTTCGCTATTTTAGTTATTTCATTACGTTTACGTATTTAAACTTATATGGATCAACGGTTTTAATTTTTCTTTACATTAAACAATTAAACAATTTATTTATAAAACTAATAAATGTTTTAAATACTTCTAAAAGAATGTATTTTGATGCCGTTTAAAATGTTTTCATTCATTTTATAAACTTTGCCACTTCAATAGCTTAAATTTTTCGTATGAACTTTATTGAACTGAGCTTGAAATATGTACACTTTATATAAGCAAATTTCTTTTCACAAAATTATTTATTGTTATGATCATTTAATATTAAATTCTCAATATATTTTACCTATAAGTGGTTTTCTACAGAAATTATTTCTGATTTCACATGATTTAAACATTGATTTTTTGTTTATTTCATTGCTGCTGTACATATTTTTATTTTATTTTTGTTAATTAAGTCTGCTAACAAATAAACAATATTGCAAAAACGATGTGCATCTAGTATCCTACAAATCAGCTTAAAAAAGTTTGATATCTATTAATTGAACTTAAATCCATTTACAACAGTAATCTTTATTTTTTAAATAACTATTCTTCAACATATCAATTTTCTGCCTTTCTTAATATTTGAGGTTGTATATTTAATCTCTCCATGACGTATTGTGGCATACATAAAGCAGGATTAATAGGTTTAAGACCGTTAAAGCCAAGTAACGATAATGCACCTAAACCAAATAATGTGTGAAAGATGTCGGGTAGGTTACCTGTTCGGTCTGCAAACCCTCCCGTTTCAGTATCTTGACAAGAAAGAATAAATTCTTGTAGTTTTTCTGAGCTTATCCAATGAAGACGTCCCATAATCGTAAGCGATGCAAGTACCCACCACGAATAACAAACATCAGCAAGTTTTTCAGGGCGACCATTTAGGCCACCACTGGCTAACTGACGCTCACAGAGCCACCAACAAAGTTTATCAATATCAATTAAATGTAATCGTTTCGTTAGTGAAAGGAAAGCTACACAGCAATATATTAACCCTGCAAAAACATTTTAAAAGTAATTCGAAATTTAATTAGAGGGTAATTTATATACCTGCATGAGATTCAGCGCCGGGTTTTGAGCCAAAACCTCCATCTGTTTGATTGCAGCAAGACATAACAAAGCTCACGGCTTTTTCGACATCTATTGTGTTCTTCATACGTTGTAGTAAAGTGAGTATACCAACTGCGCAAAAAGAAAAACGAGTATCTACCTCGCCCCATTTATCACCAAAAAAGCTTCCATCTGGTTGCTGTAAACCAACAACATATCGGACAACCGCATCACAATCAATATCATTTAATGAATCATAAATACATAATATTTGCACTGCGGAAAACGTGTACAAAATGTGCGGATCATGACCCTCACATGGAGCAATGCCTCCAGTTATTGGACATTGGCAGCGACGTATAAAATCAATTATTGATTCTCTATCAAGGCGGTTTAGCTGGTTCATAATATCTAGCGCCGTCACACCCCAATAAATACCTGACATCCGCAAGAACTCAGTCACGCAATATTCATAGTCATCTTGATCTTTTCCATGATTTTCAATATATTCTACGTGCTTCCAAAACTGTAATTCATCAATTTTATTTGTACCATTATCCCTTTGGCCTTCGTTACGTTTTATAAAACCAAATTCCATAATGTGTTAGTTAATACAATATGTACTTTTTGTATGAAAACTATTAAATATAACTATGAGTCTAATAGATTTAAGAATACCATTTATTAAATAGAAAAATGAGTCAACGAAGTGAACAACTGCTCAGCTGTTTTTTAAGAATTTTTGTATGAATCCGCATTAATGTGACGCCACACACACTCTGCTGTTAAGCATGATTGATGAGACCGATACTGCGGCATATCAAAATTTTGGTTTATTTGCTTCCTGACTATACTTCAATAAGATTTGTATGTTCAAATGAAAATATGTATTATATTTGAATTTGTCTGCAAATTTTGAAATTTTGATATGAGAGTGTATACAGAAATCTTGTCCAGGTCTTAAACAGCAATATGCTTCAAAACAGTGGGTAGTTGCTTGTAACAAAGTGGTTTATTTTACTGGTTAAGGTATTTTCGTCGTCACAGAGCATCTATCATCTATTACTTGGTAAATTTGTGGAATGGATTACATTTAATATTTATATCCCGATGAAATAGTTCTGATGACAGTGAAAGAATGCAATTGCCGATGTAATTCAAAGCTTGGTTTAATATTTTAAGTATGTAATATTTGTTAACGGAGTTGACTTTGAGTATGCTGTTGACCTTGTGAGGCTACATAGACTTATAGTAGGTGGGTTAGGCAAATATCTACACAAAAATATGTTTAACACTGGAGGATGGGACATGGATGTTCGAAGTAAAGCATTAAAAAAGAAAACTACATATAACGCTTGTTGCATAATTCCAGAAAATGTCTAATGTTGTAGAAGTGGTTGAAAATAGTTGTAAATTAGCAAAAAACAGAGGTGAGAGTTCTTGAAGGTGCAATAAGAAATATCAGCGTGAAGTGTTCAAGTCGGAAAAATTATACTTCGGCCTTTTTTAGTGCGCAATTAAGTGAAGAAATAATTTATAAGTACTTAAATAATTTCAACTCGAATTTCATATATAAGTAACTAATTACTTTTGCCATCTTTATTTTTCATTAAAATTGTTATAATAATAACTCAATATAAATCTTAAAAATGTTTTAAAAGCCATAAATATTTCCCCTTAGCTTCTTTGTGTGTGAATTTTGTATGAAAAATGGGACATAATGGATGCATATTTATTAAGTTAAGTATACCAATCTAGAGATAGCATCAATCAAAAATATGGTACAGTTTATTTTACAAAGAAAGACTACTGAACAAAAAATTGTTAAATAATTAAAAAGCTTTTGTATTTTGTTTTTGTAGCAATGGCCTTTTTTTTAAATTTACTTTAGGTATGCTCTTATCAGTGACTACAATTCAAAAGTGCAAAGGTATGCAAAATATCAAATAAAATATATAAATTCATTTAAATATCTTTATATCAAGAATTAATATTACTTATTACATATACATATGTATATATAAATTAATTGTTTCATTTATTTACTGAATATGTTATTTTTTTAATGAATTGTTGAATGTTATATTGTGAATATATTGTTGCCAAATGTAATATTAGGTGTATTCTTTTGACATGAATATGCCAATAGAACAACTTTTGGTTCATAAGAGTAACTTGACATCAATGCCTAAACTAGTAAGTTTATGACAAGTAAGAAAATTTCAAACAAATTTGCAGTTGAATTTTATTAAACAGTTTTCTATATAAATATACATAGGCAATAAGAGATTGTTAAAAAAATCGTTTATATCGCAAAAAATCGTTAATACTAAAGTGTATTGTCTTGCAACTGCCTTATAACTTTTTGCTTTTATTTTGATTGTGTTTTGTATTTATTCATGTATTGTATTTTTAATTGAACATAATACAGAAATTATATGTTCCTTAATAAATAATTAACGACTGACTTCTTCACAGTTACTAACCTGTCAGTCATTTTCACAAATTTTATTAAAAAACTACTTTTTTTAAATTATTAATTTAATCAGTAACACTCGCAACAGTTGCAAATACTAAACAGCTGACTGAAGTTTTCCATTTCCTTCCAAAAATCATTCACAATAAATCAGTCTTAAGATTTGGCACCATTATAGTACGTGAGGTTATACGTTAAGCACTTTTAGGAAAGTGGGCTTATTTTTGCGAATTTTGTTGTTGTTTTGCATGATAATTTTTAAGTGACATGTGTTTTATTGGTGTATTAACGTCAAAAGAATACGGCTATTATTACTAAATTATTAATAAGTGTTTTCGGTGGCTCGCAAGTACAGCAAGATGTTGGCCTATACTCGCCAAAATGTACGCGAAACAACACTGTTTTCTCTATCTAGACTAGTAGTTGTTTACTAGGGAAACACTTCGGTCAGTATAAAAAAAGTTACCAATAGAACAAGCGAACTATTGTGAACCTTCATATAGCGAACTATAGTGAAATTCCAACGAATATTGCAATCATATGTCAAAAATTATATGTCAACAAAAATTCATTTTAATTTTCAATTTATATCAATTATTTATTTTTACACAAAATACAATTTGTTTGCATTATGTGCACACATGCAAGATTTGCTGTTTGTGAAAACAAAACATTTGACAGATTGCAACAGTGATGCCAATGTCTCGTTAAGCGAATGTAGGCCAGCATGCACTTTTTGCTATACTTGCGAGCCACCGAAAATGTCTATTGTAGGAGAGTCGCACACCCTTCCAGAAATGGCACATGTTCACTTTTCTATAAAGAACGATTTTTACACATCACACATATTCTATATTAATTTTCAACTTGATTCTTTGGAATTTTTACTTACATTTCGCATTAGAATGTTTGAGATATAATTCTAACTTTATGATTTAATTAATTATTCGATGAGTATTTGGCAACACTCGAAACAGCTGTATGATCAGCCAAAAATTCAATTAATTAAAATAATATAAAAAATAAAATGATTGTTGTTGTAGTTCACTACTGTTCGAAAAAACCTCTTTATTAATTATTCAATTAAATTAAAAATTTTTTATTATACGTCATTTTCATGTTTAATAATCATTTGTATTAGATCACGCATTTTTAGACTTCACTTCACAAATTATCAAATAAATATTTGGTTTTTATTTTGTAGTTGATTACACAATCTGTCAAAACTTTTCTTAATATCAATGGAAATCAAATTATTAAACATTATTGTACAAAGGACGATATTACAAGGATCACAACACACAGCGCTTGAATTTTAGCTCATGTTTGTGAGAAAACATGTAGGAAAATGTAAACAGGGTTTGATTCTCAATACGTCGCGTCGCATAACGTATCCTCTTGTCACGTAACGTTTTGACATTTCGCTGAGTCTTCGTGTCCTATGTGTAAAGTAAGATATCTTGCAAAATTATTTTAGCATTTAGGGAATGTAATTGTTGTGTTGTATCTAACTTGCATAATATTACTTTTTTAAGCTTTATTTACGAGTGAATCTGTCGAAATATAACATTTAAAAGAATATATGAAAACTACCAGAAGAAAGTGAGAGCAACAACGTCAAGGGAATGGTGCAATAGCTCAGTTGCAATAAAAGAAATCGGTGCTGCTGAAGAGTAACATCTAAGCATTGCTATATTAAGGTATGTTTTCACATGACTGACTTATGAACGAAAACACACTAGGTTTTTGACTTAAGCTTGCAAAAGAAGTTATAACATCATAAACTTAAGTCTAGCTTTGAAAATTAAATCCAGATTAAAATAAAAAAAAGAAAAAATTCTTGAATCGAAAAATATTGTATATTATCTCTTTTTTGTGTAATACAAAAAAATTTAGGACGAAACGTGAATTTGTATAATAAAATAACGTTTCACTACTATAAAAATTACACCGTTTGTTGTCATCAAGTAAAAATGTCTCATTCTGACGACGTTTTGGATAATTGGGAAGAGCTTGATGAGGCATGTGTAAGTACAATGCATTCTTCGTATGAATATATAATTGAAAAATAAATTTATTTCAGCTTAGTAGTTCCTTGCAAAAATTTGGCAATGAAACAAAACGTTACTGCAATTCCAGTGCACGATCTGGTTTATCATTCGATCATTTTAATAACGTTTCTAATCCAATAAACGGTATTAATAGTAACTTTAATGCAGTAAATATGAGAGAATGTACAATGCAAAATAATGTTAAAAGCGTTGCTGTTAACACTGATAGTACAAAGTCACCACTTAATAATATGGCTGCCACTTTAAACCCGGTTTTAATGGTGCTTCATAAAACTGACGATGAATATCAATCCGTTAATTACGTGCCTCCCATTAACTCGCAAACTGTAAAAATTCTTCGGCGTCCTGCTCAATCTTTAGAGCCACGTAACAATACTGCTCGACCCAAACAACCTATTAAGAGTTTGCAGCAACGTGAGCAAGAGTATGCCGAGGCCAGATTGCGGATTTTAGGTTCAGCTAAGAATCCAGATGATGACCAAGGGTAAGTTTTCAACTCTAGTACTATTTTAATTAAGTGTGTCAAAAGAGTATATACTGCATATAAAACAGTAAAAAAACTGTGAAAGTGAACTGTTATTAAAATAATACATTGCCGTATAGTGTAAAATATTCAAAACGATATTTGTTGCTGTTGTTGTTGTAGCATTCCGCTGGAACTTGCTTGTGAAGTCTCGTTGGGAGGTGTTGAACGGCACTTGGTCGTCGCTGGCGACGAGTGGCAGTTCGGATTCACATTGAAATTGGACATTACTTATTATTATATATAAAAACCGACTTACAGGTTTTCTCAACTTTCTTTATATTTAACATAATAAGGGGACTTAACAATAAATGATTTGTAATTCGCAATACATATGGCAAAATGATGCGTGTAAATTATGCTTATAATACAAAAAAAATGTATATATAACTTCTATGTTTGCATTAGGTGCAAAATTGCCTAAAAAAAGTTTAAGTATCTAAGCTTAAATTTTCAGACCTTGATGAACTGGGAATTAAAGTAGAAACGATTAGCAATTTGTTTATTTTTTAATTTCGTTTTCAATATAATTCTTCACCATGTAACAATGACAAATTATTTAGAAGTCAAACTTTAAAATGAATAAACAAATCGTTGGTCAACTTTATAGAGTAATTAAATCGAACGATGGAATGTGCGTGTTTTTCAATTTTATGAAGAACTTTTAAACACATACACATATAAATAAAAATTATATTAACGTGACTTTATTTGTTTTTATTTCTAAATCTTTAATGGTGAACAGCTTCAGAAAATAACAAAATTTATATAAACAAACGATCAGCAGAAAACGATAATAATTACCAACAAGACAGCGACAATTTTATTTCACCAGCTATACGGTACTCTTATGTCCTAAGCATAATTAAGCTATAGTCTCTTCGTCTCTCATGAAACTCACTGTAGTTTAATATTGTTGAATAAAACAGCCAACGGCTGTTGCTACACAGTGCTTCTGAAATGCATTTGCTCAACAACTACATTTGTCATTTTTAGTTGTTACAAACTGTACCTTGATCGTGCGTTGAGCCATAACTCTTGTTGATACTGACTAAGCAAAAAGAAAACAAATATATAAATAAAAATTGTGTATAAGCTCGGAGTCAAAACTTTATTAATATCTTCAACATAACATTCAACCTTTAAAATATATTTATGTACGCTATTGCTTTTACAGCTTTTACGCTATTGCAATTAAAGAGAATATTATGTTTTCGCAGACATTAGTTGCTTGCTCAAAGTGACATCGGATGTAATATAAATAACCCATATATATATTTAAAATCAGCTTGATAAAACGTATCACCGACCTAATGATATTGTTTGTTTTTACTTCTGCTCGTATCTCTATTTATACGTCTATCCACAAGGCGTATGTCAACAAGCTAGTGTCCCAGTTTATTAACAAATTCAATGAAATTTGGTATTAAGTTCATTTCGCAAATCCAGGGAGATCTATCTTACAAACTGATACGTTAGTTAACTACACTGTTTGCACCAATATTGGCAAACAAATGACAATGTTACCTGAACAAAAAAATTATATGTGTATTTAAAAATTAACATAACTCCGAGCATTTAAAACTAGGGACTGAAAATAGTTATTTTAAAAATTTTCAAATAAAAAAAGCAGCACAAAAAAGTTGTTTAAATTCTAATTTAATTATGTAGTTATCATTTAACAACATTTGTACTTCACATAAAGCATACTTTATATAAATTTGTCTTTTGAAAACAAAACTTTAAAAATAATTAAATTTGCTTTATATTATATTTTTCAAAAATAATTATTATTATTTGCCTTTTACTTTTCCACGCACAAATAACTCATACATTCTGCTTTTTATTTTAAAGCGCAAAGTTATTCTTACCTCAAAAACGAAGACAGTCTGTTTCTTGTTTTTGGCATATTTAATTACAACACTAATTTTTTTTGTCAAATGCAGTTAAAAACTAATGACATAACAAATCATAGCTAACTATTATTAAATTTTAATATAATTTCCCCAAATTTAAACCGTCTTTATATGAAACATATGTATATCAAACAGGGTTTGATGAAACTAACATTGATCAATTCTTGAAAGTTTAAATCGCCCATTGATAAGAATTGTCTATGTGGAGCGTACGCTCCACGCTGAAGAACACGCTTGGGTTGCTGGGCTAACCCAAGCAACCAAATACGTAGTTATAAAATTGTATTGTAGCGTTAAAGGAAAACTACTTTAGATATGACCTTTTACCGAACAATAATTTTATTTAATTAATTTCGATAACCTAACTATATTATGGTAATTGCGATTTAATCATAAAAATTTGTGTTTCTATTGATATTCCTTGTATATAAAATTTTTCCAAGACTTTTTATATAAAACTGAGTTTTCTAAATTATTTTCACTACGTACTGTTACGGCCAAAATAGTAGCACCAAAGCAGATTTCTCCATTAGCATCGCCGAATTGACCAAATTAAAATAAATAAATAAAATTGACCAAATTAAAAAGGAAATTGTGATGTTTTATATGTGAACCCAGCAGATCATATGTCTTTATTTTCTGTTCACTAAATGAGTCTTAATATCAGCGACGAAATATTTTGGCTTACATATTGTCATTGAAAGCAAATTTTCAGTCGGTCAAAATAAATCGCCATCGGGTGACTTTTATCAAAAAATTTCGTTCAGTTTACTATAAAAACAACAAGGCGTGGCGGCATGGAATCAATGAGTTTTCGGCACTTTTCTATGCTAATTTGGTTCTAAAAACGCTCACCAACGGTTCAAAACTCATCACCATTTTTTGGATTGCCTTTGGCTACATAATTCTTAACTTTAATACACAAATAGGGTTTTTCAATAGGGTTTAAATTTGGTGACTGAGGTGGCCACTCCATTACTTTAATTAAATTGCTTTCGAACCATTGCTTCGCCTTTCAACTAGTGTGGCATTTCCTCTGAAGCATGTGGTAGCATAATTTTCTTCAATTTTTACACAGAAATATGCTAATCCATGATAGTTTTGATCCAGTATATAGATCCTACTTCGTAATATGAAAAACAAACCCAAATCATAATAGATGAGCCACCATGTTTGATGGTTTTTTTGGTGTATCGTGGCTTGTATTCACAATTGGGGTGGTCGTCCTACATATGAACGTGATGCAAAGGTACCATACAAAACAATCTTGCTCTCATTAGTCCACAATATGTATTGCTATTTACTTAATGGCCATCCTACATGCTCTTTGGCGAATTTCACTTTCTTTGTTACATGCTCTTTAGTAATCAAAGAGCTTTGCGTGGACTTTTGGCATCCAGTTATAATTTTATAAACTGTTATAACAGTTTCCACGCTTGCAGTTATTTTTAGGTGTTTCTATCAGCTCGTATCAGTTTCTGGACTTTTCTACCAGTCATAACTGGTTTTCGCCCACGTGTTTGGATTTTCGAACTATAGATTTTTGCGTTTCTGAACAATTTTCTTATTTTGGCGTGTATTTTATTGTTAAGAATCAGATTCGGAATAATTTTACATGTTTCATGCGTTCAACTAAAAAACTTTTAATTTGTTATATTATGTTTTTTAAACTATTAACTATTACTTACACTTTATTTGCAACCAAAATTTTAATTCTCTATGGAATAAAAACTTAATATTCAGCGCAGTTCTCCTTTTGGTGCTGTTATTTTGAACGCCTACAAAACTAGATTTGCAAGGAAAACAGTTAATTGCTTTAAAACACTCCAGTTTAGAATATATAAGTGTAAGAAAAAAGTAATTTAAGTTAATATAAGACACTTGGTGTTATTATTTTAACCGCAGCTGTATATACATGTATTCATATATATACATATATATTTATTTACTTGTATATATATTTATTTTATTGTTTTTATTTATAAGTATATTTTTTCCCATATCTCACATAATTACTATCCTATACAATAATTTTAGTTGTTTAATAAATGTATGGTATATAATAAATTATTATGGAATATTTTTACAGTGCATCAAAGACTTTTGGCTCTCATGTACCAACCACTGGCACACCAACCGTTAAAGTTAATGCTTCCTTGAAACAAACAAACGGTCATAACGGTTACAACAATCATTTTTATAATTCGTCTCCTCATCATCACAATAATCATAACCAACAATATTTTCCACAAAAACCACCTGCTTACAACAATCGCCCAGGGCCAATGCAACATCCTAATGCATCCGCAAAACAGTGGCCACAACCTGCAACGTCTGATAGTGTTTCTTCGCTAAACTTTCGTAACAATTATCAAAACGATGTTGTTGTTCGTTTGCCGCGAGGTCCTGATGGCTCCTCCGGTTTTCAGATGCGTCGGTAACGTGTTCTGTTTTTAACAATTGTTTTAAAATTTATTTTAATTATTTTCCATACCCTAACAATATTGAGGTAATTGCAATTTAATCACACAAATTTAAGTTTCTAACAAAATTCCTTGTATATAATTCATTCAACGATTTATATAGAACTCAGTTAACTATATTGTTACCACTATCGGATACTCTGTAGTACAGCAATAACATATATATAACATATATGTATATGTATATTATTCGAAAATACGTGATTCATAAAATAATCAATTTTATACTAAGCAACTAAGCAAATAAGCAAAAACGCATTAACATTTTACAATGATGATTTTTTTAATTGTGGTTAACACAACATTCAAGACTTTTAAAAATATTCATGTATTATAAGTAAAATAAAACAATAAAATAAAGAATCTATTGCTTTTTGTTTTAATTGTAAATATTAAAAACAATATTGTTTGTATGTTAAAACCAGGCTCTGCCTTCAGAAAGCCTTACATTTATTTTCTGCTATATTAATTTTAGTTTTATTTTTATTAAAAGTGGTGTATGTATTTTGTTGTATTTGTTATTTGGCAAATATAACATTTATATCAATTGAAACAGCATAATTTTGTATTTTTGATTTTGTATTTTTAAATTTGTATTTTGTTTCATGTAAACATTGTAATGATTTTATTATTTTTATTTTTTGTATTTTACGTACTAATATTAGCATTTCTATCTGTTTGTATATTTATTGAAATGATATTAAATAAATATTCATTTACATATATATATATATATAATTTATATTAATCGTTTTATTTAAAAAGAAAGTTAATTCAGTTTTGCAAGTTTCTTTTTCATATTATGCATAATTTAAGAATTTTACAAAATTACGAACAATAATTAATCACTAAAGTCTTTTTTTTTATGGCTAAGAGTCTGTTATAATTTGAACAAAAATATGTATATATAATTCATTGTATTTATAAGTATTGTGTTTCTATATTTTCAATGTATATCACAATTTTATAGAAATTTACTATAAATAAAAACATGCATCTATTGGCATATTATCTTAAATAATGGTAGATTACTGTAGAGAATACATTTATTTACATACTGAGTCTATACTGAGAGTCTATTGCAAGATTATTCATTTCAGGTTTAGAAATTCTGAAAAAGTTGATACAAAGTTGATAATTATAACGACGCATTTAGACTACCAAATTTTCAGTCCAATTTAGCATTAACTTTGAATTTATATCTTAGCCTAATTGTAGATATATAATCTACAATTACATATCATTTTTATATTGCGATCCAACTGAAGCTAACTTCATACTTACTGATCTGTTTTCCTGCTCCAAGGCGCACATATTTAAGCTATGTGAGTACTCTGTAATACCATCTGATACCAGTGGGATACCGAATTTTCAGTACAATTTAGTATAAACTTTTAACTAAAACTTGAATAGAGACTCACTTATCCTTCTCTTCTTCTCTCCTTTTGGAGCATAGAGCCAGTATGCAAAGAAACTAGAGACACTCAAAATTGTAGGCTTGGATATAAATCTTATGCTGAATAGTTAAGCTTTATGACTTTATGTGTCTTTTTTCCTGTTTAAATTTTAAATCGGATTCACCACTGTATAAACTTTCAGCTATAACCTGATTCACAGCTGCGGACACTCAGAATTGTAGGTTTATTACAGGCATGTCTTGTACACTCCTTTCTCTCATAAAAATAAAGAAGAACCAGAATAAAAAGGACAAAATCACTTATTGCTAGTTATAACAATAAGAGATACTAGGATTGTATGAACCTATCAAAAGAAAAGCTTAGAATCATCACAGGGATCCTAACAGGGCACTGTAGACTAAAACACCACCTTACAAAACTGGGTATAGCAACGGATGCAAACTGTAGATTCTGTGAAGAGAATGAGGAGTCGGTCCTCCTGTTGCTCCTAGGACGCAACAGGGCTTACAGACCTACTCTAAGCCCAGAAGGGGCCACAAAAGACCCGACGGTCGCAGTGCCACATCCCCTAACAATAATAATAATAGGCATATCTTACATAAATACTTGTTAGGCAAACTAATGAAACTCGAAAATGATATACAAACCGATTTGTTGGCTTTGAGTTACAAAATAATAAACGAATTCTGATATTTTTTCACTTTGTGATTTAGCTTCTTTAAGTGAAGAACTCTCATATTCTATTATTTCTTTTTCCCAAACTTCTTAGTAGAAAGACGATGTTGGTAGACCTCTTGTCAATATAGCCAAAAGTGGAGATGAAGGAAAGAAACAGACGGTGGTGTTTTTCAAATGTGTGGGGAAGTGACTATATATAACAAACATAAAAAGTTTTTAAAGAAAAAAAAACATTAAAGCAATGGCAAACTCTTAGCACCTGTAAAGTGCCCAAAACTATCTGAAACTTTTCCAATTCGAACACTCCAACAAGGTTGAACTGGTTGTTACTAAATGTTTATCCAGAACCCCATCATTTTTAGTGATTTCCTTCTCAATAATGGTCCAAACAATTCATAAAAAAATTATCTGTTTACAATTACAAGATATCGTTTTATAAATTCCATAATTAATTTAATATTATAAAAATCTGCCAAACTAATATCGTAATATCGCAATGTTTCTTTACTAATCGTTTTGTAAAGATGAATACTACTCGTCGTATTCGATTATGAAAAAACAACAAATTTAATTAAGTAAATGGATAACTTGGTCTATATGTCTATTAAAAGTTAATAACGAGTTACAGTAAGTTCACACTACTCACAATATGTACCATTTGTGAGAAAAATTCTATAAGTGACTTTCGATAAAATCTACTAATTATATTTATCCAACATTTGTAATATTAAATATATTCTTATAATTACCGGCAGACTACTATAGCAGTCAGTTATAAGGTCTGCAAGTGCCAGTTGTAAGGTCACAGTCAGAAAATGATGATATACTCAATATAAATAAGAGCACACCTTTTCCTGTAATAGATGGCTCATACTTAAAGGATAGATAGGTATGAATAGTATAGATAAGAGAAGAGATTAGACCTAAAAAGGCGAACCAGAAAATCGGCTTATAAATGGGACAGACACCGAAAAATGCGTTGAAAATGTAGAGGTCTGAACGTATATCGTAAATCAGACTGCTTAATGGAGCAGTAATGCGAAAGCGATTTATGGGGAGGAATTAGTATTTTCAAAAAGTGGGTATTTTAGTTCGTATATTACGTATTAATATGTTAGGGAATTCGGCATGTCATTCCGACGACGATGTATAAAGTATTCCACCTCCTCATTACAAAGGAAAAATATCAATCACTTCCATAATAAAAAATAATTAATTCGCTGAAACCGGTAAGGGAATTACCAACATACACATAGTACACAGTTTCATAGTACATAGTAATAGCGTTTCCACGCTACCTGTGATCATTTATATTCATTAATAAAAAGTATGCTGTGCTATAAATTCGCTTTTATATTGAAATGCTATAAATATACTGTTTTCGCATTATTCACACAATTTATATATATAATCTTATTTATAATCTCTGGCAATAAAGTTTCGTTACCCCAAATCAATAAACCTATTGACAAGAGGTTATCATTGCATTCCGAATTGGTACTGAAAAACAAACTTTAAAACAAGCAAATCACCGCAATCGGTATGCGTGCATTTGACATTGGTGATCACTTTTGATTTGAACTTCATTCAAAAAATATATTGAAAAATGTTTCAAAAAATATAGAAAAATATTTAAGAAAAAAATATGAAATCTTTTTCGCACATCCCATGTTCGATTTCTTTAAAAAAACTCTCCATTATTCTTACAAAAAAATTTCAAAGTTTTGGACAATGTTGCTATAATCCAAATGTATCCAGTTTTGGTGATCATATCATATATGTATTTTTCATATACGAATACTTTTTCATGGCAGCAATATCTATCGTATAATTAGTTTTTAATATACAAAAAAAGATTTGCAATGAATGTAGTTAAAATTGTAATATTCATAAAGACTGCTTGGTAAACATCAGGGGTTAATGAATCTTTTACTCATGTTCCAAATAAACATGATAAACTCACAAAATTGAAGTTCAATGACTTCAGTTGTCATTACTGTTGCAGTCTTTGCGATTTCGATATACCTTGCTTCGACCAACACACAGATAGGAAATACTTATAACAACGACAAGAAATTGGGAAAAACTTTTATTCGATTTTGTTATCGATTGGTAATGATTTATGGGTTGAGCTAATTTGGGTTAGATTAAGTTAATTCGATTTTGTCATCGATTAGTAATGATTTATGGATTAGGCTTACACTTAGGCCTTTATGCAATGCGATCAGCTTGATCTATTGTGAACCTCTTTGTATTTAGAAATTCACTATCTCGAGTAAACGAACCAACTCCTTCGGAGAAGGCTTTTGAAGGTCTGCATCCTCTAGTTGGTATGCACCTGGAATTCTTCTTTGTGTCTTGTGTAGCTTAGTGCATCACAGTTGATGATCAGATGTTCCATAGACTTTTCCTCATCACAGCACAACCCGCAAATATTTTTGTCGGATATACCCATTTTGTGTAGGTGTTTATTGCAGGAGTGACTTCAGACTTTTCTTGCTTAGATTGTGAAGGATGTTTCTCTTTTAGCATCAAAGTCCTAAATTTTTTGAAGTGATTTTAGGTCGTTGTAGCCCTTGGTTTGACTGCACCTATGTCAAACATTACCTGTGTATTTGGTATTTTGAGGCCTGCTGTCTCTGTATCTAGAGCTCCTGAATGAGCCCTACACTGGTGCTTCTACCGCAAACTTTCTGCTAATTTCGGCTGTTGGAGCTTCAACATATGTTAATTAAGATTTGCTTGAATACACTTCATGTTTTGTTTGCATGGTCAACGTTAGGTGAAGCACTTTCGTCCTCTTCTTTCAACTCCACTACAACTAATCTATTTGCCATTGCATTGACGTTGATTAGCGCAGCTTTTAACCGGAGGCTCTCTTGGCCAAATCGAAAGTTGCATTCTCACCTGACTACTCCAGGATGACTGTTGATTTCTGGTCAACTGCAAGAACCAGAGTGATATTGGAGCCTTCAGCTCTTTTCAGTACTCGCTATGAATTGTCGTAGAGGACTTTATTTTGCCCCTGTAAGAGGTCCAGGATCCTAGAACTCTCTAGGGTCTGAGACATAGGAAAGGTCCCGATTACGATCCATGAGTGAAGTATTTTAGAGTCTTCTGTGGCTGGTAGTGAGGAGCCTTCCCATGGTGACGCATTGATGATGGTCGCTTTTAACCATTCCGTTGATGCAACACCTTTGTAGTGCAG